AGCAAAGGCCAGTAGGCTCTTTAGGCCCTAGTTTTCTTTGAACGCTAGCGAGAAAGGCGGGTGTTAAGACCTCCCAGCAATCACCGCAGGTAGCACGAAGGAACAATTTTCTGGAGCGTACTCACAGTTGAGCCCGCTGACAGAGCATTAGACAGCCTTATCAAGAGGATGTGGTGTGCCCCTGAAGAGATGGAAGGTGAAGCGCACGGCAGCGGAGTAGTATACGCTTTCGGCGAACGTTTAAGTCCAAATACATAAGACACATGTTTCGACCAGAAAAGGCCCCACAAACGGAAAATAATCCATACATGGATGCCCGACATGTAGCCCTGTGACGATGGAGCTGTGGGGATTAGGCTGGGTGGGTGGGGATAAGACTCGTGAAAGACAATAAAAGAACCAGTGAATCGGACTCCAAGGATTCAGTGCTTATTCTGATCGTCGAGAGATGATGGGTGCTCTTTTGTTGAAAGAAGTGGAGTGTAAAGTCGTTTAGCGAACGCTACACAGTTGCAGCTTGACACAGCGTATTGAGCATTGGACAATGTGCGCCACATCTGGTGTCAATAATATAGACCTTCGCTGCCGCTTTGTAGGATCTGACAGCTCTGCTGGCCTAAGACGCTACTGGGTGCGTAGACAATCATGTGTTCCCTCTACAGCAAATATACTTTCAAGCCGAAATACCAGATACGGGTTTTTCTTGGGGCGTTTCTTTTAATCATGCGCATCTTCGTGCAACAAACTCCTCATATAGTGCCAAATGTAGTTTTGGTTCGTACAATGATTATGTAAACGACCTTCACTGGAAGGCTATGTTTACACTACCACGGGTGGTTACTAGGAGGCAATGCAGAAGGAAGCCGCACCAGACTCACCTGCAGCCTCAACAGACGCTCCATATCTACGTCATGCAACGTCACAAATATTCTGTCTCTTTCTATAGACCGGAGTCTTGAAAGAAGGATACTATGGTTTTTGCGTTGCTCTTTCCGATAAATTAATTTTAGCGCTTCCCCAAGTCTCCTTTACACTCTGAAGTGACAAGGATTTCCGAAGCCTGCGGCGTACGCTTTGAGGCCTAGAAGAGCTTTTAGTAGCAGAACTATTTGTTATTGGTGCTGCAAGTGATTATTATGCGTGGAAGAGCCATACCAATAAGCATCAAAGGATGATAATAGGTATGAGAGTGAAGGGCGTCTTTGTTGGATATTTGGCTTGATAAATAGAAAGAACAGTTTGACTGTCATTTGGAATAGACTATACGTAGAATCCTAGAATGGCTGCAGCGTAGGGGTATTGATTCTGGGGTCTCTATACATGCTTACCTTGCTCTTCCATCTCGCTGAGAAACCTTCAAAAAAAAACTTTTGTAGCGAGCACGATGCCAGGACCTAGCCTTACGTCGAATCTCTGGTAAGCTGCGGTGCCTAGCTATTGTGTCTCTTGGCAGTACAGTCTATTCTCCTATGGCCACTCAGTGATCGATAAGCCCTCTACCCTGTCCATAATTTCACAACTGCTTTCCTTTTGTTCTATTTTTTCTTCCGGTACAGGATTACCACTTCGCCATTCTCAATAGCGCTGTCCAGCTTTTTGCTCCTCTGAAGAGTCTTAAAAGGTGGAACGTCTCCTAACTTTTACACGTAGCTGATAGCGATAACAAAATATGGAGTACGCACGCGTGTGCTTCGATATAAAAGAAAGACGGCAAAGGGGGCTAAGCTACACTCAGGCTCTTTCTGTGGTATCAGATATATCGAGTACAGCAAAAATAAATAGACTAACTGGTTAGGCTGTTCTTTTAAGTAATTTGGTTGCATGGTGCAATAACTCAATGAAGCAAGAATCAATGTTGGGTGCCTTTTGGTGAACTTTCTACATGTCTCCGTAGAAAGATAGCTAACTGCACACTCACAAACTCCAAACAAGGTTGTTTTGCATCTTTGCATGGGAGGTTATATATTTACCTGTCCACACAGCTCAAAGTTCCGGACATGTAGGGCGAGGGAGAGCTGAAATGAGCAGCGCTGCACCCTCGGTACGCCAGGTCTAAATTGCGTAGGGCGCGCACCTTCATATCGAACCTTGTACAGGTCTCTCAAAACTCTCCTACAAGCACGATAAACGAACATGCAAGCCGAGTACTCAATTATTTCCCCTTTCTTGAACTTAATAGCATAGCACAAGGTGCCGCCGCTTAGCTTATACCCCTACGAAGTGGCCCAAAATTTCAAAACATATGCCCTCATGTTTTCCACCTATCCTCTGAGACCCGCTGCGTGCGCCAGAGCGGAGCCACCACCTTGCTGCTCTTCGGGCACACAGAAATGCGAAAACAATGCGAATGGGGAAGCCAGAAGAAGCATCAGCCTGTGAAAAGGAATGAAGAACAGAAAGACGCGAACACTAGCCGACAATTATGAGGGACCCAACGAAAAAGATCGCAGCAGCGCGATGATTCACTGTCCCCAGAGGGCTTAAATGCGTGAGGTTCCAGCTGCGAGACAGCAAAACACCAGTGAAGTGTGTAAGGCGGGTCAAAGTGTACGCTGGGTCAGCAGTAAGTCCCCGCCTCACAGTGCAGTGCCTGCAAGCCAAGGCAGCTGAAGCATCGAAAACTTTTGCCTTTAAAGTCCCAAAGGTGGTGTACGGACAAATGTAGGTACAAGCATGATACCCTAGATATATACGAATATATCGGAGTGTTGCGACCACCTGAACAACAATTAGGATGAACTTTCTACGCAATGCATATTTACAAAGGTAGGAAATCCAGGCACAAGGTGTACTGAAGAATGATAACTACCAGGAAATCATAGAAAAACCGTTCACGGCATTGCTGCGAATTAACGAGAGTAGCAGATTCTACAGCGCACAGTAGAACCGGTAGCGTCGTTCCCGTCAAGCAATGAGTCTGGCCTTCTTCTCCTGTGTAGCAAAAAGAACTACTGCCTAGCGGGCCCTCGGCGATCGAATAGTTTAAGCCAAACGCTTCTAGTGTTTCCTGTGTTTTCCAACTTTTGGAGTTGTTGTTGGAATGACAGATAGCAATGTTTTGTCTGAGTTCCCCAACAGTTTGGAGGGCTTTGAAACTACCCAAAGAGGCCGATGTTGATAGTTCCGTGGCACCTGCAACTTTTAGGACGATTGATACAATGGTGAAGAGCAATGTTTTCGTGGCTGCAAAAGTCTTATTGTTATGCCCCTCAGTTACATCTTTCAAAGCCCACTGATCCACCAAAACTAAGCCTTCACGGTCAAAACTCACAGCTTATTGCTTCCTGTCGCAATCACCTGCTTGACACTCTTAAGCTTTCCGCATATATTCACGCTAAGTAACGCGCTATTATCTGAGTTGCTCACAACGACAGATTTCTGCAGGCCTTGGCCCACTAGACCCAGGCTCGGCCCGAAAAGGGACTTCTTTGGGTAGACCAGGGATGCAGGGGAATAGCGGGTAGCAGAGTGCATGGTTTCTTGATCCACACAATAGAGGGAAGCAACCGAGGCCAAACCGTAGAATTTATGTAAGCGCAGAGTCGCAAATGCTTTTGGTGTCACCTCAGGAAACTATATCTACAAAATCCGTTGATTGTTCCTGTTTTGAAGGATGTCTTGGAAAGCCAGGAAGATCTGGACACTTTGAATTCTTTTTAGGATACAAAAAACATCCCTTCAGACACTTTTGTAACACTTACCAGCTCTACGCGGCGCCGTGTATACCCAGTACTTTCTGGATAAGCCGCAGAAAATAGGGTTTTTCCTCTCGCAAATATGAAGGATTCTCAAAGAACACTATCCCAGCACCTGGAAAAAAATCAAGCGCAAGTGCCACTATAGGCGTAGTCTTTTTTCTCCCATTACCCTCTCAACAAAAGGGATTATTTCATTTTTTCGTCGGCAGCTCTCCAGCGTACTGAGTGCTAACTGCTTACTAAAGCAGCGTCCAGACTAAAGAGAGATTTGAAGAACTTATCGCTAATCAAGAACCTACGAAAAAAATGGAAGCAAACCATATTTCGACACTTGGCACATGGCGGAGGGCAATGAATCGCGTTGGTGGCGATCTAGAAAATCTCCATACAAAACCAGCATTTCTGGTACCCTGTTCTCGTCTCGTCGATATTGCTTTTGTGGTCGCGCCTTCGCCATGCTGCTTGCAGATGTCTCAGAGGAGAGGCGCGTGCCTGCTTTCTCCCTCATGGAGAGACATTTCAATTGGTCGCTGCCCTGGGCCAGGTGACTGCCAAGGATGAACAGGATAAATTTAATTGGGGAATTCGTGTCCAACTCTTCGATGGGGATATGGATGTACGCGGTTGCTAATACAGCATGTGCACATACTGTTGGGGTTCATGCTGCTGTGTTTAAGGGTGCGGCGATTCGTCTTGCTGCTCTGAGAATACCCAGTGATATTTGGAACTCGAAAGCCGTTGCTAGAAAGCTAATGCAGCCGCTGCACTCGCGCGTGCCACGAACAGCCTTAAATTTAGCTTGGCAGATTCTGTGTGCCCCATCCTACATGCATTTGCTCAGCTTGTAGCCACTAGAGATGTGGCCTTGCTGGACTTTCAAAGCAAAGGGTGGCTGACAGCAGGAAAAAGCTGCTGAACAATATTCATGGAAATAGGGCCTCTTTCTTGACTGTTTCCTCGGCAATGTTGAAACCGCCTGTCTATATGTGCATCTCGGGTTTTGGCCATTTCGACATCAAACCAAGCAAAATCCTCTTCGTGTCACTCAGGCAATCTATTACCCATAAACCCTAACATTGGCAAGAGTAACAAGTAGTGCTTATACCTTGGGAGCGAGTAGCAGGAGCGTGCAAACGCACGAATGCACGAAGAGGCACCCTCTGACGAGCAGTAGTTGTACATGGATCTTTTCCAGGTGCATCCTTGCTATATGTGCTGCACGCGCATTTCGGGACGGAACCCCAGGTGGTGGCGCAGCTGGCGGCAGGAGACTTTGGCACAGTAGCAATCGTCCGGCAGAAAATGGCAGCGAAGGGAACTGTGGAATTTATGGCTCCAAAGATGGAGAGGTCCAAGCTGCAAATGGAATATCGATCTCGGCTTGTAGCCCTTCCTCGACACGACGTCTTAGCCCTAGGCCTCTCTCTTGCTCATATTTGGAGTGCTTTTAATCTTGTTCTTGCAGCCTACCCGTGGGTAGAGCGATGCATCACTCCTTACTTACAACCCGGCGTTTTGTTATCCCCGAAGTCAGTGAGCAGCAGGTCAGGCCCTCAATATACCCTGCGGAGGTCCAAAGGCAACTAGGACAATGTATGAAGACTGGAAGGCATGTATAAAAGCTGTATAGCTCTAAAATGCTTTTTTCTGGTTAAAATTAAGATTGTACACATGACAGTAGTCAACCCTCAGCTCCGCATTACCGAAAAAAACGCTTTCGCATATCTATCCGGTAAGTTGAAAACGCCTATACGGTGTGAACAGTGGTAAGTGTGCAGTCTAAAAGGTGACTGATGAAAAAAGATATGCATGAAACCTATTCCAACCTTGAGTTGAACTAACGTCTGGGCTACAAAATTGCCCGGACTGGCATGGCAAGCGGAGCTACGTGTAGTTGGGAATGCGAAGGCTTCGTCACGACGGCAAGACTGCATGCTGTAGGAGCTGCTGAAGCCTTAGCAATAATATCCTGGAAGCCGAAATAACATGGAGAGCTTCCACAGAGGTACTAGTCTCATGATGACCAGCAAGAAGTCCTTCGCTTATTAAAAATGCTTTCTACTTCCTGTTTTCAGTTGCTAATACCCTGGAAACACTACGGGAGGATCCAGAAGAGGGCAAAAGGCTTCTAGAAAAACTGCGTGATAGTGCTATTCTGAATCTGTCTCTTCATAGAGGCCAGCGGACGATGGTAGATCTTCAGGGACCAGAGGGGCACAAACAAGCGTTTAGAGTTCTTAAGGCTCTCCAAGACCTTGGTATGCCTACCCCTCCAGAGACACCAGTACAATTTTACCACTTTAGACTATACAAATCGCAAAAAATGTGAGAGAAAATAGCAGACGTATCTAATTTATGGAGAAGTATGAATCTGTCTTCCCTTTAAATGCAGCCTCCTGCAGCTCCATACTCGACGCCGCAGAATCATATGTAAGCCCTCTGTCTCTGCAGGCGGTTCGGTACCTTCGTATGCCCCCACGGCCGACAAAGAGGGAGGGAGCGAAAATAAAACGGAAGACATAAAAGCAGCTGCGATGACTCCACCTATAGCAGAAAGGAGAACTGAAGAAGAGACCCTACTCCGACCTTATTGATGATGTCTTCCGATTAAGCCTACAAGGCCTTGATGCTATTATTTTGAAGAAGTTATTACTACCCGAAACCATCAGGCAGACATGATGCACCAAGATACGTAGAATTGGCTATATACAATATTGAAAAGGCCTTTTCAAAATGATAAAGACAATATAAAGGTCTTAGGGCCAACGAGAGATCCCCTGAATGCGTACCCGTCTGCCCACCTGCATCATCAGCATTCTCTACCACACATTTGGCAGTTCACGACCCGAAACGTGTCTCGGTGTCCCTAAAGTTTTCTTACTGACGTTAGCACTACTGATGGAGTTCTTATTTTTGCTTGTTGCAGTGTCAATTGCTAGTATTGCCATGGCGAAAGCACTTAGAAGGCATCTGCACTAAAAGATACTGAATGTCAACGCGCAGAAAGTAAAGAAAACACCGACGTTGAGCGACCTTTCGCCAATGATGAGGTCTTCAGGAATCCAGCTCGAACGCAACAAAGGACAACCGACCGAGTACCTGAAACACAGGTGAACCTCATTCTATCTACTTTTTGCTTTGATTATTTTCCTATCTTGAGTTGGTGCTTCCAGATTTTATCTTACTGCTTTGGTTTCCGATTTTATCGCATCCTACTTACTGACCTAGTGTTTGTGTGTTCTCAGGGCTATTTGTCTTTCTATTGTGCATCTGCTTCTGTTCGTTTCCCGTCACTAAACCGCTCGTTCTCTTGATTCTGTAGGTTTTATTTCACCTGCTACTCAATCCAGCCTTTGTGGCTCCATAATTTTCCCAGAATGTCGTGTACTAAATAATGCCACGTCCACAAGACCCTAACACATTACAGCGCTACCCTTTTTTTCACCACTTTTGTATGAAGCCCCACAGCATATGTCGTCAACGTGTTGTGGGCCTCTGCTGACGGCCTTGCTCATTCATCACTCCGCCAATGCGTTTCCACCTCTCTTACCGCGTTATCAAGACATCATAGGTACGTAAATGGACATCCTGTGTTCAAAGAGGAATCCTTGGATCTTCAAGTCTGTATGTGGGACAAGCTTGAAGAAATAACACGGGAAACACACTACGGCTCCCCTTGGAGAATCTGTGGAGCTCTGAATGATTATAGGTTCCCGGAAAAAACCTGTCTCAGCACGTCAGCGAAACGCTAGTCAAGGCGGTCAGTGAAAGCTCATGTAGGCCAAAAGTCCTCCGGCATCCGTTGCTTGCCGAAGTGCGTCTCGGTCCTAAATTACCCGCTCCTCGAATCCCTGTCTTACTTAATCTGCCCCTTTCTTCCTCCACAGCGCTCTGTCATTAACTCTACCTTCGTGTTATTTTTGTGTCCAGAATATTCTTTCTGTTGGATTACACTTTGTAACCGTGACATAGGGAAAAGGCTCACGAGCCTCTCGCTTGCTTGTTGAAGCAAATCTCATAAATATGGTTGCAGGAGATTCTCGATTTCAGTTTTTGTCCCTCCTTTACATGCAGGGACGGCCGAAAGTGCCGGAAAGTTTTTAATGCTCCAAGCCTCGCGCTTTTTCTAAGCTGCCCGCCGGTTCACTCAACGGTGGTACTCGACTGCGGGGTGTATATGAAACTGTGATGAAGGAGATGGGCAAAGATTTCTTTGTCCCTCTACCATTTGGAAACTGGCAAGTCCGAGAAGAATATACAAAAGCACTCTACGGGTTCAAGCTAAATCAATTTAGGCAGGCAGTTACCTTGCCGCGACTTTAGAAGATCTATCAATCAGAGCCGTGGAAGCCCTTCAGACCCTCACTCCAGAAAAGAGTAATAGGCCGTAGCTCTGTTACCTTCAAAACTGTTTATCAACACCATACCTAATGGTACTTAAGTAACTAGAGCATGATATGAAGGCGTTGGTGCGTATTCTGTGAGGACAGTGCCGCAGCCTTCAATCACTGGAAGTATTGTCACATCTAGCTCTAGCTGCTACGCGTGTTGATAGTGCTCCTTGCAGAAGCAAAACTTCAGTTGACAATCTTCCCGCACTACTGCCATAGCTGCTGCTTTCCCCCTGCGATTTGATCTGAGTGAGGAAGAGGGGGAGAGCGTGTTGCAGCACATCCTCAGCCAGGCCCTGGGGAAGACTGAAAAACAGCAAGGTTGGTGCCACCTGTTTCCCCACAACATAGGCATACGTGCAGCTATTCAAGTCTATAGGAGAAAGCTTGTCTAGGACTGGTGGCTCTTTAGGAACGGCAGACGTATGGAGCTGTGGGCATTCGTCTATAGCTTTGTGTTGTGAAGGCGTGAGCCCATGTATATGTCTATCAAACGAGTGGCATGTAGATATTTGTATAGGTTCTGCTAAGGCATACTCAGTGTTGGCACAGCAAAGTAAGTTATTACAAACACTTCTGCACGGTGATAAAACTACTTGTGCACACCGGGGCAGAGCTTGTGGCTTCAGGCGAGGAACTGCTGACCCTAGAGATTAGTAAAGATGGAAGGTTTACTCCATCATCAGAAACCGCCACATAAAAGGAGCTTCCTTTTATAAAGCAGCTCTGGATCAAACCCAACACCACTGTTGCACATATCAACAGACACTTCACTGTAATTCTGGCAGACAGATGCGGCAGGCTAAAACTCAACGGCGTTAAAGCCACCTAATTACCGCCTGCCTTCATAATGGCTTCTTATTTATAGAGATGACACATCTATAGATATCTGCTAAGGCTTCATTGTGTGTTTTTTGCATGTACCTGTTCACGTAAGCATATACATGCAAGCATCATCTAAATGCATTCTCCCACTAGAAGGTAGCTGCTTATACAACACCAAACCGACACTCACCGTTTGCTCCAGCATCGTCAACCGTATTCATGGCTACTTGTGTGTCATGCAAAAGTCTGCCTCAGGGCATACCCTGTACAAGGCTGTCTTGAAACGGAGCATGTGCTCAGGAAAGATTCAGGCTCTAAAAGAGAGCAAGGTTCTAAGAGGCACGAAGGAACAAGCAGAGATTCCTAGACTGGTTGCAATACCTCCGAAAACAGAAGCTCAGCAAAAAATTCGTACGTCCTCACTTCTCTTCGCATTTCCCGATCTCTCTCTCTCTGCGTGTATTTTTTTGACTAGTATACAAGCCCATCTGTTGAAACGTAGTAGCGGCACTAAGTTGTAAAGTATATGCACATATGTCCCATGACGGGGTATTCAAAGCACAAGACACCACATCCATTGTACAAAGAGAAAACCAAAAAGCACACTCAGCTATGCCTACCAAGTCTCCCTGCTCAAGTCCTACACAGCAAATGAATCATTACAGTCTAAGGATGTCGTGACAATGGGATAAAGGCTTTGTGTGTGCTTGTAGCTTGATTCCTCAGAACAATTGCATCCTATGGACATCAGAAGTCCTCCAACCAGGTCTTCACACCATTCCGCCTCCGGATCCAGCTGGCCCCCAACACACCTAACTAGTCCTTTTCCTGGCTCAGCAGACATTTGCGGATCTGTTTGCTAGGATTGTGATTGATGTCTGCTGACGAAGCTACCATAGAGCATATGCTGTATACACTTATTAAGAGCAAATAAGCTTCTTTCCTTCGCTTGTAAGGAAATTGGGGCGACTATCTCGTGGGCCGTAAAATTATTTGCTCCACGAAGATGCTGCAAGGCCTTTTGCAATCGCAATGAACATGAAAACTACCATTACAGAGGGGCGGACACCACATACGTTGCTTATGTGGGGGCACTGTGGTGATCACTTTAAGAATGTGAAAAATAAAAATCACTCCTAGTTTCCCAACAAAGCTCAGTCAATTTCTGACGAGCTAGATCGAGTTCGTGCTTCTAAAAGATGAGGCAGTCTTCATGCTGGTCGCTGAGCCAAGCAGCGAGACAAGACGATTGTCAGCATTCAGCCCATTACGACGGCTCTCCGACCAGTGCTTCATTAACAAATTTGATTGAACTTTCAGCTGAGGAAAAGCAAGAGCGGTCGCCCACTGCACTGCTTCAAGCTAATCTTGTGTGAGCCCCGTGCTGAAATCCGCGATAATGCAAGACTGCACAGTATAAAGAGCAGATTAAGCGGCCGGAGAGTGAGTAGTTAAAAAACTTCAACAACCAAGAATCGATCAGAGCCTTAAGGCAAAACCTGTTTCCAGTGCTATAGAGAAACGGAAGTTGACGCATGTGCATGGGTTGCTGAATATGGTTTCTGATACAAAAATTTTAGCGATGCTTCTTGTAAGCGAATCACTTGAGAGCTACACGAATCAGCAGTCTACTCGACGTTTGCGTTCACGAGCACTTTCTTACAAAACCTCATATACCCGGTTGAGGGACACGAAACTGCAGTTCCACATTTGCATTGCAAACTCGAGCATACCTGTACGCTGTTTGGACCTGTCATTGTCCAAGCTAAACCGCAACGGCAAGCTAATCAAGGTTTTTGAGCCTATGAAGATGAACCGGATTGCGATCTATATGAACCGCGTACAAGAATCTAAGCGAAACACTCAAGACCACCTACAGCATCGACTTCATGCACAATTATCCGTTGCGCGGCAAGCATTGGTATATGAAAGTGCACAACTGTTTATGCTTCACCAGCAATTCTATTTGATTAATCCGGTGTCCTGAGTGCAGCAATTAGGCTAGATCGGGCAAAAATGTATGGAATTGCATTTTACTACCGAAAGTTCGTTTCTGGGTTCGCTAGGATCGCTGCTGCTTGACTAATCTACTTAAGAAAACGCAGTAGGTGACATGGACAGCGGAGGCGTATTCCGTGACAACGACGTTTGCTGGCTGCCTGAAAGCTCTTTTGATACTTGTGCTGCTCACTTTAAAGCATTAGTTCTTCCTAGTAATCGATGCTAGTGTTCACGAAGAGGTGAACGCTATTCTCTTCGAAGAAGCTACGGGCTTTTCAGAACAGCAAATTATTACTTGTTCTCCTCATCGCCACAGTGAAACCGAGCAACGGTGCTTACTTCGGGGCGAAAAGCTTCAGCTAGTGTGGCGGGGCATGGAAAAAGCTCGGCTGCCTTAATATTGTGATGAATCTAATGTTTAAAAGAACATTAGCACAAGACGAACTTTCAAGGCTTTGGTAATCCCAAACGAATTTCGTGGGTTCGCTGCTTAGTTCAAGATCATTCTGCATTAACGTATCTAGAAGGCACCATCAAGGGGGGCCGCCGAGGCGCTTTTGCGACACCGCAATGCCTCATTCAAGTGCAGCGGTACCCCTGTTGGCTGTGACGATTCACAGTTTCCACTGACGTTGCGTGAGTCCTATGCATTGTACCTCCGCATATCAGGCACTTCTATTGCCAATTTTTGGAATCGGGAAAAGGTGAAACCCTAATACATTTAGCATAACCTGCTGCGCTGCATAACGAAGTATGGATTGTGTTTTTCCTTCCGACCGTGCTCTGCAGTTTTCTCTTACGCAAGGCACACAATGAGATTCATCTAGGCCACTGTGAGGCTTGTAGGACTACGAAATTTTTGTCATTCTGGTGGGCTGGGGTGAACCCAGAGGCACAGACATATGCACCTTCATGGCCAACTTGTCAACAGCTGAAGAAGCCCATTTTTCCCGGTTCCAGCCTCTTCGCAGGCGTCCGCTTTCTAAAAGCACTGATTTGATTTTGAACTGTTGCTGGACTGCCGGGACTCAGGGGTCCGTTTGGTCTCTTGGTTGTTGTCGACAGTGTCAGCAAGACATGCCAAACACATATCCCTTGCTCCAGCTCTTTCATGACTCACGCAGTCACTCAATTATTCGTATTCAATGTTTGGTTGTAGTAGCTTTGCTAATCCGTGCGGTTTTCTTTGCCTGTTAGCAAAGCTAAATTCGAGGAACTTCGGTAGCTGGCAAATACGCAGATTGCACTTTTGCGACGTCTCTTCAGATTATGGAATTACTCCACATCCAGTGCTGGGTAGCGCAATGACTCCTTGACCATTGATGAAAAAGTAGTTTCAGCGTACAATTGACCCGTTGCCGGCCTCTGACTGTACGTCTATCCTTTGTAGCCCGCTTTACTGCGCCAAAGCCTGCGTGATGGACTTGCATTGCCGTTCTCCCGAGGTGCCTTTGTTGTTTGCAAAGCATCCTACCTCCACTTATCCCGGTCCTATTGTTCAGGTTTCATAGCATTTTCCATGCGTTTGTAGTTCCGTCTTGTATTACCCGAATTTTCACAATAGAAGCAGGTGAGTTATCAAGGGGCTGTCTGAGGCTTTATAGGAGCGTGGGTTCAATTGGCTTTCTGTTTGGAACCACTTTAGATTGTAGGCTAAGGTATGTTTCAATACGCCTGATTTCTATGGATTCCTAATCCCGGTTCGGATCTTCGTCTTTAGCCAAAAGCGCAGGAGACAAGAACTTCAGTTTGTGGAAAACTAAGAAGTCTGTCTCTTGTGCAAAGCCCGCCAATCGATTGTTCAACCGCTAAGTCGCTGCCCAGCCTGCGGCCATCTGACGGGGCACTGTGGGTAGCCGTGTAAGAAACCATCGCCAAAGCAACTTTTCGTATACACTGTGACTTCAAGCAAGTAAAAGACTTATACTGCTCAATTGTACCGATCTATTGAACGAATTGCCCGCGCGAAATCTTTGAGTTATGCCAAAGCTTCGTGATCTGATCTTGGCAAGGAGCGATGAGTGCGGGTACGCTAAGAGACTGAAAAATGTATTAACCAATTCAAGAAGCCATCTCCCTGTTTACGAATAAATCAGGCATCGAAATGCTTCTTCGTCAATAAAAAAACACATGGAGCGCGTCTTTTTCTTCATCTACGGGTATGCAAAGCAAGGTAGAGCTCCATCCGCCCAACGAAATCTTCGAGTACTTGCCCATCCATGCTGCCGTCATAATCGTTCGGTAGGCATCCCATCATAAATGCATTCAGAACATTTTATAGACTGCTGTATCATAATCTTCTACCAGCTGCGGAGCTATTGCTTGTACATTTGCTGTGCAGGCTGATTTTGGTTGCACCGACAGTCGTTGCGCCTCCGTAAACATCCATACTCACATAAGTTTTCTCCCAGCCCGCTGCCAACATAGTATAAACTCTACATTTTCAATGACCTTGGCCAAAAGTAGACAACTCTTGTAGGCAAACCTCACATCCCACCGCATCCACAGCAAGTCGGTGGACGGGGGGAACATTTACATCGATACATGCGATGCTAACAAAAGTAACGCCCTATTTAAGGTTTCCAAATGGATTCCCCTCTCTACAAAAAGTGTTCGAGCTCTGTAGGAGAAACGGATGGTATTCCAATAGAATTCTATTCTTCCCCCACTCTTTCATTTCATTTGTGTCATGAAGGAAGAGGGACAGCTAGGGCGTGCCTTGATGCACCATCAAAGCAGTCCTAGCATTTACAGCTACTTGAACAGAGCGCTCAGCACACGCTCACAGAATATTGCATCTAACTGTATCGAGAAAACTGTAAAGTTATAGCATGAGGATAGCACCTCCGGAGAAGATACTTGAATAGATGTTTCTATCACTTTAGGAGGCTTTTTTCTAAAATAAATAGTATAATGAGAGCAGCCCATTTGTATCTTAGCCTGCTAAAGCGATTGCAACATATGCTTAAGCTTCGTCGTCTATGATAGTGCCCCTCTGCTAGAAAATTTGCATATTTTCTGGAATATGTCCTTGAAGCGTCTTGCGTACTCGATCTTCTTAACATCGAGTGAAGGTAGATATCCCTGGCACGATCTCGATGCACTGCAGGACGAAAGAGTAGGAAACTTCCCTCGTATTGGTACTAGGTCTGATGTTTGCCATTTAATTGTGAACTAGTGAATTAAGGTTTGGCTCTCAGGAATGCGAGATTCCCCTCTTTAGTGAGATCCACTGCGTCGCAGTAATGGTCTATGCACATAAGACAGTTTCCCCGATCACCAGCGAGAAACATAGGTATATGCTTGGAGCACTACGCGCTGTGACGTGCCCGAATAACAGCCAGGTGCCAGGAAGTTCGGGATGCGTGGCAAATCCTCTTTCATCACCTGTTGAAGTAGCTCGTGCATATTCGACGCCCTCCCTTCCAACTCGCCGACTATTGAAGTATGTGAGCACATTTTTCGATGGTCAGATGCCAAGCGCTGCGAGCTGTATGGGGGACAGGCTCCGTTTGATTGCCGGCATGGCCCCTGGATCCGATGCAGCACGTTGGAAGTTCTATTGATTCCGCTGCCTGGCACCGGGCTTGGCGAAGCTGGGTGGAAGTCTTTAACTTTTTATCATAACCATATTGAAGCTTGGTATGTAGCCTTGTCATCTCTAAGAAATGCTGCGTTTGCAGTAGTGGCCATAATTTGAAATGTGGGCCATTTGCCTCTCCCGCCGTCTTTAGTCTTCGTCGTAACCGGCTATTCAGTTGCACTACGCTTTAATCCAACGCTGCTAGTTGACGATGTACCAAAAGTATGCTAGAGCCTACGAATGAAGCTTGAACAGCTGCTGCTGAAGATAAACCTACTAAGGTACTCGCAGGTAGATCAGAGGTTCCGCTGCGGTTTGCCGTGCAGCGATAACATCACAGAGGAACACATGTACTTGTAAATTGAGTAAGCCCTTAAAAGGGTCTATTATATTGTCTCCATGATTCCCCAATTCATTTATCGCTGATCACCGTCTTCCCACGGTCACTGCCGCATTTGACCATTGTAAGGCCCCCAAAGATACCCTGGTCATCCACACCGATTGTGAGACATCAGGCTCGTGAATATTATGCGATAAGGAGGATTAGAGTTGGCGATTGCCTTCATCAGGCCCAATGCAGCCCTGTTCAGGCATAGAAGCTTTAGTCTTGCTACCCCTTCTGCTATCGCAGTGCCTCCCCCCAGACGATCCAGCAAGTATCCGCTATTGGAATGGCGTGCAATGCTGAGTTGCAGTGCCGTGCCAAGCACTCTCAGCATCCTGGCGTTGCGAGTAGGTCCAATGTGGGCTAGGAGTGCTTGGGTGGAGATGCCAAACTCGACAGCGAATCTACTTGCCCATCGTTTTAAATCCATGCAAGGTCTATCAAAAGATAGTATCAACGCATAGGCCTCTTTTGGAGATGATCCGACTACTCCACACAGATGATCATAAAAGTATTTTGTTCATAACAAAATCGCATTTACCGAGCTGACTGCTGCACCCCTGCGAAACATATTATAGCAGCAATATCAGGAGGCTTTGCTACCAGACAAGACTCAACAATCTAACTAAACAGCCGCCTCTTTGCGGAATTAATAAATAGCTAATCAGCCATCGATGACTGCCTCTGTAGGCATTGCCGTCCAGTTTGGGGCTTAGGTAGGATAACTATCCCATTGCCCCTGTTGGTAACAGTGATGCGTCAGTTACTAGGAACCTCTTTGCTGATAGGGTATTGATGCTTCCCCATTCTGCAACCTTGTCCATCGATAATTTCAACGTTTGAGTCAAGTTAAATCACGGGGAAAATCCAGCAATCATTTAAAGGCCTGGAATGTTACCCTTCCGTGTAATTCAATTTATACAAAAATCTTACTAGCAAGTAATGCAGACAATCCTGCCTTTTTATAGCCTCTAAATGCCCTATTGCCCTCAAAGCTATAGGCTTACAGGATGCGCGATATTTCTCAGAGCATATTTTCAAAGGCCGCGATACCAGCTCGAAACGCGATTCTATTCTACATGCTGCTCCTGTACCGGAGCCTGCATAAGCTGGGCCAAAGGGAGGGTGAATGATTTCGAAGAGAATCTCACCAGGTCTTCATCAAGTGTCATATTCGGAGCCGAGTTTAGCTTTATGGGTATTCTAAGTGAAGGTTTACACCATGGCTCACTTTGCTCCATGCAAGCAGTGGCCATTATAATCGTACTGAATTACAGTCACTGTGCACACACTAGCATATATTGAAAATTACACCTGTGAGTGAAGTAATAAGTAAATTTGCCAATTAGTACCCGGATCAAGCACAGTTTAACCTGCTACACAGTTCTTCTGTTTTTGGAGACAAATAGGACTTTTGAGTCTACTTGCGGCTTTGCAGTCTTTTACGTTGTTAGCTGGGGGAACTTGTGATTTAAGGGTTTGAGTGGATATGCACGCCGTGTGTCCAGCCTTGTATTCCCTTTCGAGATTTCAATGTGGTTATTCTGTCAATATTGCTGAATCTACTGGATGGAGCGTTATGTGCTCAAATTGCATATTTTCATGGCGTTGAACCAAGCGAGCACCGTAATGTATCTGACACAAAGCAGGCAAATCGCGACGCCCTAGATTAAACAAAGCTTGAGACCGTGTAGAGGAGCCTTGTGGCAACTGTGTACGTGTAGTGCGGCTGGTTCCATCCTATGGGAGAGCTCACGGAGCCTAGAAGACAAGGCCTTCAGCTTGCGGTATATGTCTCAGGACCTGGGGACTAAGGACCAAATTGGGTTGGTTATATTTTAAAAAGCGAGCTGTGAACAGCTGAGCGCGCCCATACTTGCGAAGCTATAGACGCACCGGAATGTAGGGAAAGAATGATCCATGCAGACGTACATGTGTAGCGTCGTCGGTAGTCTAGAGATCGCTTGTTGCGAAACTCAGGTCTAAAGGCGAGCACCAAACGAATTTTCGATCTTTATAAAGGCGGAGGGCCAAACAAAATAAATGATTTCAGCATCGGATAGTAAATCGGCTCTCTAAACCGTGATCCCTGACCTCGAACACAAAGGGCCCGCCGACCAGGCCTGTCGGATGGGCTCGACACCCCAACTAAGTGGAAGGCCTCGTTCATGTTTTACTTTCCCCTACTTTTTCTGTCCCTTTGTGTACATGCATGGCAGAAAATATGCATTTTGTGGGCTCGCTGTTTGGGCTTCGGAGGGAGTTGCCGGATGGGCCTTGTGAGCCGCGCCGCAGTTCCCACTGCCGGCAAGACTCTACGGTTGAGAAACTACCTCGACTCCCAGCAGCCTTTTGCGCCTGAAATGTAGACAAGGGAAGAAACGCAGCCAAATGGTGCTTCCTCTTTTCGTCTTGTTCGCGAGTGACCGAACCACAGGCCGGACCAATGGTGCAGTGAAGCTACAGCTCGGACGCGCAGTGTTGCAGCAAAAGATGGTGAGCCTGTATGCATGGCATGACCATAGGCGGCAGCGAAGAGGCTGCATGGAGCGGCAACAGCCCTGCATCTTTCCGAGGTGCCTCCGTGTCAACCTGAAGACTTGCGCCGCAGCAGTCCTCGGGATTACGTGTTGCCTGCTCTGCACCATCGGCTTCCCAGCGGCAGCATTGGTGGCGCACCGAGGCTTGAGCAAAAGCTCCTTTGCCGGGGTAGACACAAGGGGTGCTCAGCGTGTAAGGTCGTTCTTGCGCTTTCGCGCTGTGTCACCCCATGCGAGCCAGCTCTTCCTGCAACTTCCCCTGGAGGAGGGCCATAATGAAGAGTTCCCCTTTGAGAGTTCCCAAGGAGTGGTCTTGCTGCAAAAAAGTACATCTGCGACGGGAGATGGGCATGCATCAGCCACAGGTATGCACGCGCCCCAGGCAATCAGTGAGTATTGATCTGTGGTACCTGACGGAAAAGCAAGTTCTTCTGGCTGGAAACATGTCAAGACATTGCCGTCCGTCTGATTCTCAAGATCTGTGATTCTGGGACTGCTTGGGTGTAAATGCAGTCTTCTCGTCGTTGCTTCGGCGTCTCCCTGGACGTTTGCACGTGGCTGCACAGCAGCCACCCTCCGCTAGTGAAGGCCTCTCTTTGTCAATGGCCATGAGCCTTTGTCGTCTTTCTTTTGACGACTTGGATCCAAAGTTAGGAGGAGGAACATACGGGGAGGTGTACCCAATGCGAGCTGGTGCTCTGTCAGGCGGCCCTTGCATCCCCACAGCGGCACAAGCTGAAGGAGCGAAAGGAGCTGCACAAACAGACGATCCAGGCCCCAAATTCGCCGTGAAGGTCTTTAGACTGAGGGGACTAGTTGGACTAATGAAAGCGGCGGAAGAGGGGCAAAAGGAACTGAGGGCCCCTGAGTTGCAAGCCCTTAAGAAGGCAGCAAGCGAGCTCAAGTAAGCCAAGAGCAGCTACCTTAGTGGCTATTTTTTCCCTGCGCGCTCTGCCGCTTCGGCCAAGTCTCACTTCCTGTAGTATTTTGCTGCATCGACTAGTGACACTGCACGTAAAAAACGGAGTATCGGCAAATCGAGCTTCCGAAGGGGGAATCGTTCAATGAACACAGACAGAGCCCCCAGCCAGCTCTCCAGAGTGTTGCACATCAAAACACAACAGAAGAAACCAAATGATGGCTCGCCGAAAGAGTCGCTACACATAGAGGCCCGGAGGCAATCGGCTGCGAAGCCAGAGAGAGAAAGAGAGACTCTCTCTGGATTGCACTCATGAGTACTGTACACCTCTTTGGTGCATCCCTCCAGCACGTGGTACTTTCCTGCATACTCTCAAGTAGAAGCATTTCCTTCGCAGGTCTGTCAATCTCAAGGACCCCTTCACTGTCTCCGCCTTAAAGGAGGTGCTGGAAGATCCTGGAATGCTAGGCACTCTGGAGGCGCTTCAGCAACAGAGCCTGTTATCCCCTGAGGCATTCTTGCAGAACTTTGCGGCTATTCGCAGCGCAATTTACACAAAGTGCTTTCTTGATGAGCTGGAAGAGACAGGACTCATCTTTATCCAGATGGACAGGGCTCTTGAAAAACTAGACCCCGCCATGTGGGAAAAAATGAAGGGTAGGTTTTATTGCCTACTTCGTCGCATTTCCCAACGTGTCGTTCTGCTTGTGTCGTTACGTGGCTCGTATAATAACACACACCCAGCCACGTGTACGGGGCGAGCTGCCAATATTCAGTAGATGCATATACCAGAGAATGCGCACGAACCGGCTTTAATTCTCAGCCAAACAGTAAGCTTTAATTCTTAGCCAAACAGTAAAAGTGGCAATTCGTTGAGTGGGTGGCCACTGCCGTATCTCAAGACTTTGACGTACCTGATTCGTAACATGTGTTGGCCACTGGGAGTCCACTCTCAATGCTGCAATCACCTGCTGCTTCTCATTGGTGCTTCAAACTTGCATTCCGCATGTCCTTTTGAGTGCAGATGCCTCAAAGGAGGAACGCGTGTCTCTGTTTGCTACCGTGGGGAGACGGTATGTTCACTGGTCGTTGCCTCTGGGGAGAGTGCTTGTCAAGGACAAACATCAGAGACTCCACTGGGGTGTTCTCGTAAATTTGTTTGACGGCGATCTGGAGGTTTGTTGCTGGTCCTTCCTATTGATGAAGCGTATGCTGGTGCTCCTCAGGTGCTCTGGAACTGCTACTACAGCTGCCGCTATGCTACGTTTTCCCCTTGCAGAACTGCAGAAGTGTCTGTAAGCACTCCTTTGCAGCTGCTAATGGTGGTACTGCGCTTTTTTACTGTTTGAATCAACGATTTTCTGGCTCTATGCCCTCAGCCTCAAGCCAATCGCAATTCCGACGGCTCAATCCTGGACGGGTGGGCTGTTGGGGAACGCAACGCGGTGCTGAAGGAGATTTTCGCGGAAAAGAGCTCGCTCTTATCGTTATCGTCCAAAGCCATTCAGCCATTTGTTTACATGCACAATTTCTTCGGGTTCGGACACTTTGACATTAAGCCAGCCAACCTTCTTTACTCGAGAAGTACTAGGCACGTCATGCTACTTATGGCACACATGCAAAACCCCAACTTAGATGGACTTAACGAAAAGTCATAGCGTTTGGGGGCACTTTTACAAGCGGCACAAGCAAAATGTGTATGCGAGGAAACTATTGGAACCAGCATACTGACCCTTCGTGAGCGCTTGAACTCTCATCCTTGCATGTGATATGTCCACACACTTCTCAGGAAGGAATCCCACCCAACGGTCCAGTTAGCGGCGGGTGATTTTGGAATGGCAACTCTCCTGGGGCAGAACGTACTCATGCGAGGAACAGTTGCTTTTATGGCTCCGGAAATAGAGAGGCCCAAGAAGCAAACAACCCCACCCCCGCGAATCGTAGCTCTTCCCGAGCATGATGTGTTTGCCCTGGGCCTGACACTCGCTTATTTCTGGAGCGTCTCTGCTTTTTGTCCTGTCTCCTATCCATGGGTGGAACGCTGCATTGTACCACATATACAGAATGGAGCTACATTCTCCTTCGATACCATGTCGAGCACCGTGTCTCCCCAGTTGTATACACCAATCGTGAAGAAAGAACTAAAGAAATGCCTGCAACCGGGCGGCAGGGTGGATAAGTTGTACAGCTCTAAAATGCCCTTTGTCATTAAATTGAAAATTGCGCAAATGACAGAAGTCAATCCGAATCTTCGCATCTCCATGAACAACGCCTTCAGTTTTATGGCAGGTAAAGTGAAGCCCCTATGGAAGCATTTAATAAGCTCGCCTTTGAGTGCTTTAAAAGTTTGATTACATCGAATGAACGGGTCGTACGGCAAAATTAGTACTTCCTGAATTTTAGATTCAAGCCTTCCGTTAGAACAAGGAGGCAAGAGCAGTCTTTTGCTGGATGAGAGCAAAATATCGTGGCCAAGAGGACATAACCACATGTAGTGGCAGTTCACGTCACCAAGATATGCAGACAGAGGTAGTATACTTGTGAAAGTTTCCAGAAGAAACATTTTTTGTATTGCTTACGTGAAGGTGGTCCCTTGTCTTTTCGATGCATGATCTGTGCCCTGTGCATTCAGTTACCATGGCCTTGGAAACGGTACGGGGAACCTCGGTAGAAGACGGTACGCGACTTCTGGAAGAAACAAAGCAGACCAGTCTTTTCCAACTCTCTCTCAAGATGAGTCGATTGGAAAAGATTGACACGCAGGGCCAGGAGAGACAGCAACAAGCCACAAGAGTCCTTAGAGCACTTCAGGACCTGGGTGTGTATGCACACGTTACCACATATCCAGCGAAATGTGCAGACACACTGCTGCGAAAGCGTTACGTTTTGTGCAGCTGAAACTAGTGTAGGCAAGCGTACTACCAAAGCACTAAAGCGTATCAGTGAAAATCACACGACTGCCTTGATGTGTCTTTACTGCAGCCATTGGGAGTACGCTAAAAGAGGTCGTTGAAGCAGCTGTCAGTCCGGTTGCTCTGGAAGATTTACTCTCTCTCGACGTCTTGCCAGCAGTGACTGACGAGGAGAAGGCAACAGTCAGAAACGAGCTCGAAAAGGCTCTGCAATGGGCCCCTGTGCGTCATCAAGAGGGTCAAACGACGGGGGCAACCCACGCGGATCGCGTTGACGCAGTCTTTGGACTCAGTCTAGATGGCTTGGAAGTCCGTATTGAGCAGGAAATTACCGATAGGAAAAGTAAGACTTACAAACCTAGTTCATTATTCTTAGCTCCGTGCGATGGCTTTTCAGAACCACGACACTCCAGATCGCCTCCCGAAAAGGTCTATATACTAGAAAGGTTTACTGCCTTTCTGGCATTTGTAGTGTTGCTACCTCCATTAAGGGCTTACCTGCAGTCCCAGAGGCTCGACAGTGCTAAACGGGTTAGCATTTGGTAGGGAAGAAGTGGATTCCTGCAGCACGTATCTTCCTGGGTTGAGCAGGATCGAAGTGTGTGCGCATCTTTACGATTAATGCAGTGGAGGCAGCCAGCGTGGCCGTGTCAAAGGCCGTCCAGGTGTATGTAAATGAGGAGTACTCACTGGAGCCCAACACTCAGCTGCTAGATGAGACGCCAAGCGAAGCAGCCATTTCAACTATTCTCCGCTCTGTAGGCGTCAACCCAGAGAGGGAAAGCGAAGTTACGAAGTACCTCTCGGACAGGCAAGCTTGCTGGTGTTGCCTTTTGTTCTCGTCACTTTGATCCTCTCTGACCTTCCTGTTGCCCCCGCCTCTAAGGTTCTTCGTCACCTTGCTGCATTCGCCGCCATGCGCTGCTTCAGCCTGCTGATTTGCTTCTTTTCCGTGCGCTCTCTTGCTCCACAATACGGGACTGCTTTCGGCTCTGGGGGATGTCAGTGCGTGTTGTTTCATTCTAAAGGCCATCCACTGACTCGCGACGCGTATCCTGTGCAACTAAGCACCCCTTTCCACATCCTTGGCCTTTCAACGAACGGTCACGGTATTCCGATTTTTGCTGTGCGCCTTCCCAGAGCTTGTGCTTCGTATGTGTCCTGGACGTCTGCGGATCGTCTTGTGCGCGTCGCCCTTCGGCGTTGCGTTTCATCCGTCTCCTCCGCCTCTGCTATACATCGCAAGTATGCAAGTGGAAACGCTGTTACCGAAGAGGAAGCCACAGCTCTACAGGATTGCATGTGGGCTGAGGTAAAAGCAGCGACTGCCGAAACACATTACGGCCTGCCCTGGGGTGTTTCTGGAGCAAAAATGGATTTTGGATTTTCAGAGAGTCAAGTATCTCGGATAGTTCGAGATAAGATGATCAAAGTGATAAGCAAAACTGCTTGTAAGTGACAAAGGCAAAAGTGTCCTGGATCAGACTTTTCTGCAGCGTGCAGTCGGGTTCTTCCTGTATTCTTACGTTGCTGTCGCGGAGCTGACGCTTCGATCTATCTCCCTGATGTGTCTGTTGCTGATCTCCTGCTGTGCTGTTTAGCTACCTGTAGCCCATTATATGCCATCGTGCTCCACACATTCTCCCTGCACCTCGTCGCTGTTTTTGCTGTGCTTGCGTCATAACTATCTGCCTCCTCCTTGGCAGCTGTTACAGTTGGATAATGAAGTGTCTCTATTCCATTTATACATATGCTTTCTTTTCACAGGGTCAGTGGAGAACGCCAAGAAGCTCCTTTTACTACAAATAAAAAGGGCTGTCTACCGCCTGCCATCTGACTCGCTCCCCGGGGGCACTAATCTGCGGGGTGTATATGCAGCAGTGCTAAGGGAGATGCATAAAGATCACTTTGTCCCTCTACCTTTCGGGGTTTGGGATGAACGCGAAGAATATATTGAGGCGCTTTACGATATCAAACTAAGTTTTTTTAGGGAGTTAGTCGCGTATACTGCAACTAAAGAGGAGCTCTCCAAGAAAGCCGCAGAGATACTCCACGCACTGGACCCAGAAGAAAGTAAGATTACTTAGTTCTCGTGTTCATCCTACGTGGACCGACTTTGATTTATGCGAGCGTGCACCTGCACGCAGCAGCTCAGAGATTTAGAAGTACGATTGCAGTCATATTCTGCGGCGGAGACTGCATCAGTCCAGGAACCACACGCTGCAGGGATTGCTTTTGCTGCGGTGTTCAGGAGCAAAGTTTTCAGTGGCCACACTCCGCGGAAAGATCCCCGAGTCTATGCGAGCTCCTGAAAGATTTGGTCTGACAGAGCAGATTGGGGAAGGCGTGCTAGAGGGGGTCCTCACTGAGGCACTATACAATGCCAGAAAACCAGAAGGTTGGTTCCCCTCATCTAGTTTGATCCTGAGGTGTGCAGGTTGCTGTGTGGTTGGCGAGCTTTTAGTGCATTCGGAGGTGTCTTGTGGCACTGACGTACAATCCTGCCTAGAATATCGAGTTCAGTTATCTGCAGTCCATACAAGGTTTGACAAATGAAAGCACGCACGACGGGTGCCTACATCTGAACACCACGAGTCAACCTCTTTCCCGCATTGCTTTAGAGTTGTTCTTATGTATACGGATCCCCACGCAGTCGTCGTATGCTGCTCAACGTGATGTATACACGGAGTCGTCTATGAATTGATGGATCGCCGCAGCACCGCAGGAGGCCTGCATGCGTACACTCCATGGTTGTGCCTTTTTCTCTGGTGCAGTCGAAGGCTTGACGACACTCTCAGTCAGCGTGAATGGGGCATTCCTGAGATCTCCTAAAACCAACAGACAAATTGGCCGCCCAGCAGTCAAGCATTTGAAGCTGCCCCCCGAAGCCACTGCTGGATATGTCAACGAACACTTCACCAACATCCTAGCCACCAGGTGCGCGGACGGAGTCAACGCTTTGAACCTTTCGCAGAGCCACAAGGGGGCCGTTATGCGTTGCGGTGTGGGCACACGTAGATCCCGCGCCTTGGGGAGCTGATTCCTCGTAGAGCAAAGTACCCTATCCTGCCCGTTTTTCTCACAGTCTGTGCCCCCCTGTGTGGGTGCTCCTTCGTTCAATTCGCAGTAGTCTGGCCCCCGGGTGCAGCCGCTACAAAGCCATTTTGAAGCGGAAGATGGCATCAGGAAAGTACGAGGCGCTGGAGAACACCGAGATACTGCAGGGGGGAGAAGGGCAGAAAGACCGACTCAGGCTTTACGCAGTGCCGCCAGCCACGGGCACGAACGCAAGGACCCCTGTAAGACGCCATTCCCTTCCCCACTAGCATCTCTTTCGTCGCACTCATGCTAGCGAGAATTCACCGTCGTCACATATAGGGGATAATACGTCGTCTAGTCTCGATCCCCACCCTGCCAGTAACATCTCTAGGCGTGTGGGAGGGAAGAAAGACACTAAATAGGGGCACTCCGTGTCAGAAGGGCTGTGTGCTGCTGAGTGCTGCCGCCTGCGTGGAGAGCCTCGAGCACTCAGCCTTTCTTCCAGCCTTCCGCGTGCACCACACCCAAAGCCGACAGGGATGAAGGCATGCGCGTGTTTGATTTCTCAGAACAACTGCTTCTTGTGGACAGCTGAAATCCTAAGACCGGAGTCTTACACCGTCCTGCCTGCGGCGCCAAGCCCCTAGTCGGCTAGCTGGCGATACACTTTGACGGCTAGCTCCCTGCTTCCCACGAAGCCCTTTCATCTAGCGAGCGGCGAGCTAGCCAGTGGAGAATCCCTGCTTCCCCAAGTGCAGCGCAGTGGCGCGGAGCTTGCAGAGTTCGCTTGCTACACAGCCCTCTAGCTACCCAGCTGGCCAGGCGAACTGCACCCCCGAGAAGGGGGCAGTCGGTTCGACGAGCAGCAAGTTGTGCTGCTACTGCAGTGTGTGCCGCAGCTAGCTATGCGTCGCCGACAGCCGGCTCCGGCGTGACGACTGTTTCGACACTGCAGCACTGCATTGGTGCTGCGCCTACCTACGCGCGCATCTGCAGCTGGTAGTAGCGCTGCTCTCTTTGTGCGGCTCCCCGAAGCGTCTCGGTGACGAGCAGGCCTGCGAGAGAAAGAACGGTGCAGTCCACGTGGCATCTCCTGCCGTCTGCAGACATACGCGCTACTTTCTACGGTCGACTTCGCTTACATGAGAATGTGTAATGGAGGCACTGCAGTGCATACGCGATATTGGCAGTCCCTACACCGCGATCCATCCAGAGGGAGAACGCCACTGGCAATAGGGCTGCCGCAAGCAAGCTGAGACCTACCTGCACCCAGGTAAAACAAGCAAGAGAACACGCGCGTAGTACACGTAGCAAGGAGCAAGGCAACAAGCGCCAAGAGGAAAAAAATGTGCGTTACTAAAGGCCCCACAAGCTTCGAGAAGGGGACGCGCTGCTGCATTTCTCGCCAATGAAAAGCCAACAAAACCTGAGAGCGCACAGGCACACATGCAGCGCGGCAGCAACACTCCAAGAAAAGGCAGAGAGAGAGCACAAATACCAACAGGAAGAAGAGCAGTGGAGCGTCGCACCTGCAGGAAGGCGAATTCTGTGAGGCTTGGATTCTGTTGGAAGAGCACCATTGACTGCGCATGCATCCCGCATCCAAGCAAAGGCAACCCTCTGAGGAGGAGCACTGGCGCAACGCCCGCGCTGCACGGAACCTGAAACTTCAGAAGGGTCTTTCGAAGCCTCATTCAACTACGGATTCTTCTGTCTGCGCTGGTGGAAGGCAGTCAATCCCGCAAGGAAGGGATGGCTGCTGCCCTGCCTGCCTGCCTCCCTGCCTGCCTGCCTGCCTGCCTGCCTGCCTCCCTGCCTGCCTGCCTGCCTGCCTGCCCCTCTTTGAGACGGCCTGTGTGTGGCTTTGGAGTTCAGCCATGCGACTCCAACAAGCGCGCTGCTACGGCGCAGCAGCGGGCGCATCTTTTGGCGGAAAAGGCAAGACTTGATGCGCGGTGGCTCAGGTGTATGTACAGCACGGCTTACAGCGACTGCGGCCTGGCAGTGACTCAGGGGGTTTCCCGCAAAGGCGAGCGTCAAGGGGACCATCAGAACGAAGGCAGCAGCCTGCGCAGGATAGTCAGAAAAAGCAAAACACTGACGCGTGACGTCTCTTTTCTTTCGCAGCAGTTGGCGGAGACCTACCCCCTTCCTCTCTGCAGCGCTGCTGCGCCCGCTGTGAGTACCTGCAGTGCAAAGACGAAAATGCGACGGTACCGCTCGAAAGCCTGCAGAGAGAGAAAGAGAGAGAGAAACAGCCCGACACAAGCACCGTGGAAGCGACTCGACGGCACTGAGCGCTTGACAAAAAGGTAGAAAGGACGCACATCCAGGAGGCAACACACTGGAGCAGCTCGCGGCTTACCAGCGCGAGCAAATACCACGAACCTCCAAGACCAGGGTCGATTGGCTCCAAATGCCATTGAGACGCGAAGCTCTCCCACAAGCTTCCCTGCACAGCAGCAGCAGCAGCAGCAGCCACCCCCTTCCGCCTCTTTAGAGGGTGACTTGGCATGCCTTGTGCTGCTGCAGACTGGCCTCCTTCCCTGCCGCAGCGTGTACAGCGGGAGATGCGCGCAGAGAGGCTCCCCCTTTTGCAACTGCACCCACCAAATTCCAACTCGTCGCCGCAGCAAAAGATACGAGGAGCAAAAGCGATCCCACGAGCGACCCCACCAAAAACAAACACCCCCGGGCGACAGCTGCAAGAGGCCTCCTCTTCCTCGCAGGCAACGCCTGCGCTGCTGTACAGACAGACAGAGAGATGCAGACGCCTCGCGTAGCGCATGTAGTGACTGAGTGTATGTGCTCGCTCGCCTCTGCCTAAGGGTCGTGCGTGCGTCAGACTCGTGAACGCATGCACGCATGCAAAGCACTGTCTCTCAAGCGGCTTCTTTCCCGTTGAGCGACCCCTCTGCGCCTCCCCTTGCCAGAAAAGCTGCGGGGAGAAAGAGAGAGACTGTCTGCGCGCGAGTCTAGACGTACAAGGAATCGGCCCTAAGCCGAAAGTGCTGACGGCAGCAAGGGCGAAGGCAGTCGTCAGAGCTTGGGGGGGGCCTAGCAGCAGCAGAATCGCGAAGCAGCAGCAGCAAAAGCTCCGCAAAAGCAACGCCAGCAGCTGCAAAGAAAGTCTGCTGCGGTAGTTGGAGTGTCGGTGCTGCGTCGCTGGCTGCTTTCCACGGAGTGTTGTCGCTGCTTCTGCTGCTCTCGCTGCGAACGCCCCTGTGACGATTGCCAGCGAGAGGAGCAGCAGAGGAACGTGGTGAGGAGACAAGGCTAAGCTTCCTGCTACCTGCAAACAAAGTCAGCAAGAGGAGTTGCCGCGCAGGGAGGGGGGTGGAATGCGGTTGGCGTCAGCTAGAGGCACCAGCTTGCGCGGCGAGAAAAGCGCGGAAATCAATGAGAAAAGAAACTACACACACTCCCAAAATCGCTGCGCCAAGAAACACACGCATACCCTGCCTCCTCCCCTTCCCTTTCTTTCTTTTTCCCTTTCTTTCTTCCTTCTTCCATTTCCCAAGACTCTAGCGTACGGTGTATGGGTGAAAGAGGAAAAGCGCAGCAGCGAGAGTCGGGCTGATAAAGCGCTGTGATGCAAGGGCCCCTAGCCGTTCCCTCTGTTGCAGGAGAAGCCGCTTCTCCTTTACAAGAGAGAAACACTGGGAAGCGGCTTGCGCATCAAGGGGTGAAAGGCTGCTCAGCAGCCTTTCCTCCCCGTCCTCGTCGGCATGCGGCTGCAGCTGCGCCGCTGCAGTAGCCAAAGCGGCAGCAACTCCAAGATCTACCGCCAGCAGCAGCAGGAAGAGACGAAGCGCGTTGCAACTTGCGCCACTGCCTCCACATCCAGTCAGATGTTTCAGGAGGACGAAGAGAGGCGGAGTTTGAACGTAGATTCCAGCGGCAAGCGGAGAGAGGCCAGCTGCCTCTCTAGCCAAGGCTTCCTGGAAGCTGCTGCTGCTCCTGCTGGTGCCACTGTACAGCAACAGCGCGCCGCTGGGAAGCGACACGCAGTGGAATAGCAGCACGCGCACCAGAGCTGCACTGCCGAAAACTGCAGCCAGAGGCAGCAGACGCCTGCCTCTGCTGGTGCTGCCACTAGCCCTCCTTTCGCCGGGGGAGGCGATTTCAGGGGACGACATGGTTGCTCGAGGCGGCTAGCGGCGCCTCTCAAAGCGCCTTCCCAGCTGCAGCCAGATCTGCTGAGTCTCCCCGGAGTGTCTGGCGAGGAAGGAGGCACGCGGAGCGACGCGTCAACGGCAAAAACTACGCCCAGCCGCTGCAGCAGCCTCTGAACCTCTCTCTGCCGCAGACACCCAACAGCCGCGGAGGAGGCAACCACTGCTGCACCACAATTCTTTTTTAATTTGGTGCAATTTGCGATTTTTGTTCACAGAAAGGACAGCAACGTGCAGGGGCTGCAGCCGATATCGGCAGCTGCAGCCGCCGATTAGGGGCCTTTAGCAGACACCGCAGCTGCGGCAGGAGCTGCTGCTGCGCGCTTTGGACTCACGGCGCAAAAAGAATGCATTTTAATGTCTGTTGGGCCGAAACTTCGACCTCCGCAGCCACTGCTGCCGCTCCAGCTGCAGTAATGACTCTCTCGCGGGGCGGTGGTAGACAGTGGGGTTGCTGTACCGCAACTCCAGCAGGCGCAGCAGCGGTGCCGACAGCAGGCAGTTTGGCGATTGACGCGCCTCCAGCGGCAGCCAACGCATTTCAAGAAACGCAGGGAAGCAGCAGCAACAGCAGGAGCTGGCTGGCGCCGCTACCTGAGGATGCCTCGCCCTTGTGCAGCTGCTAGGGGGGGTGCCTTGGTACACCAGCAGCCGCTTCTGCAGCCTTGCAAGTTGGCGGAGAAGCAGTTGCAGGAGCAGAAGTCGGAGGGCAAGCAACAGCAGAAGCAAGAGCAGCAGCAGCAAGAGCGAGAGCGGCAGTATGCTTGTAGCAGCGATTGCTTTGTAAGCAGCAGCAGCAACAGTGGCCAGTCTGCTGGCTACACAGAGGAGCGCATGCAGCAGCAGCAGCGCATGCAGCAGCAGCAGCAGCAGCAGCGCATGCAGCAAAAAGAGACGTCTACACGCCTCCCGCTTCCCCCCGCGGGTATCTCGATTTTGCTGAATGCCGCAGCAGCATGCGCGGAGGCGAGCAGCTGCAGCAGAGCGAGCGATGCTTCCAGCGAGTTCAGCCACTGCAGCAGCAGTCGCAGCGTGGGCTGTCGCACTGTAGAGCACCTCCCGTGGGTAGGCATCACGACAGTCAAGGAGTATGCCTCTTACCGCATGCAGCAGGCGCAACAGCGGCAAGGAGTTGAGCCGAAGCAGGATAAGGATCAGCGCCAGAGATGCGCAGAGCAGCACCTGCATATTCTTTCTCGTCCTTCTTTGTCGGCAAAAACAAAATACAGACGAGCCACAGTCACCGAAGATCATGGAGCATCGAAAACAACAGCAGCAGCTGCTGCAGCAGCAACGACTCCTGTTTCCTTAGCTGCTGTTGCTGCTGCGAAGGGACCAACACCAGCTTGTGCTGCTGCAGCTCCTCCTCAAGCTGCTCCTCTCACAAAGGCTGCCTCTCCTGCTCCTGCTGCTTCTGTGCTTGCCGTCCACACTGTGCAGCAGTCAGCAGCAGCAGCAGCAGCAGCAGCGACACCTGTCAACGTCCCCTTACCCTGCAGAACGCTGAATGCGCGCCTCATTTGGGAAGAAGCAGTCTGCTGCAGCAGCACGGATAGCAGCAGCAGCAGCAGCAGTAGCAGCTGCAGCAGCAGCAGCTGCAGCATATCGGATAGCAGCAGCAGCAGCAGCCTCCGTGAGGCCATGTCGTTCCGCATGCAGGTACAGAAACTGCCGCCACACCAGCAGCAACAGCACGAGAGGATGCAGCAGCAAGAGAAAGTGAAAAATCAGCAGCAGCGACAGCAAGAGAGGAAACAGCAAGAGCAAGAGAGGAGCCAGCAGCAGCAAGAGCAACAGCAAGAGCAAGAGCAAGAGAGGAAACAGCAACAGGCGCAACAGATGCAACAGCAGCATCAACAGGAGATCCGACAGCAACAACAAGAGGAGCTGACGACGGCAGAGGATGCATCTACCCCTCTTGGCACTCGAAAATGCCATAGCCTCAAGCAGCAGCAGCAGCAGCTTCCTCAAGGAGCTTTAGGCGTGACTGTTGATGCCTTTGGTGATCTCCTCGCAAGAGACTCTATTGGCAGTTGTTCAACTGCCGCAACAGGCAGAGCTTTGGTGACAGCAGCAGCGAGGATGAAAGCCTCGCAACAGGGAGAAGGAGGAGTAGGAGCAGCAGCTCATGCTGCAGATTCTCCTTACAGCGGCAGTCTTTTGACGCTCAGCGCTGGCAGTCTCTTCAAAAGCAGCTTTGGTCGAACTGAAGTTTGTGGGGACCTTGTTGCTGCTCCTGCTGGAGATTTTCATTTCATAAGACTTCGGCGAGCAGGCTTTTTGCATGAAACGCAGCAACAACAGCAGCAACAGCAGCAGCAACAGCAGCAACAAGAGCAGCAACAGCAACAAGAGCAGCAGCAGCAGCAGCAGCATGCAGCAGGAGCGCAGTCTTCAGGAGCAACTACAGTGGCAGCGCATACACTGCGTCCTCTGTGGATGTCTCGTCAGCGAGAAGTCTCCACTGCGACTCCCTCAGCAACAGCGAGCGCAGCTTTGCCGCCGTCTGGAAGTCTCACAGTCCCCTTAACGCCACTTTTAGTCCTCACATCAGCAGCAGCAAGAGCAGCAGCAGCAGCGAGTGGATCAACAGGAGAAGAGGAAGGCTCTGAGGACGCTTTGGAAGAGACAGACTCTTTCTTGGAGGAGCCAGAGACTCCTCCCCAACGCGCAGCGCTTCCACTGCCGACGGCGACAGCAGCAACAGCCACAGCAGCAACAGCCACAGCAGCAACAGCCACAGCAGCAACAGCCACAGCAGCAACAGCCACAGCAGAAGCGGATGTGCCTCTGTGCTTCAGCTTTTCAGGCACAACTGTTGCTGCAGCTGCAGCTACACCGCCTCTGTGCTTCAGCTTCTCTGCTCACTCAGGACCAGTCGCAGAGTCGTTAGCGCAGGAGGAAACTCCGCAAAAAGCTCCTCCTCTATGGGGCGTGTTGCAGACGCATGCGGACGGCAGTGTCGCGCTGCAGACGGTGACGCAAGAGCCTTTTCTCTCCTCGTTGCACGCTCCCTCGCCGCTGCAGCCAGTGCAACGAGAAAGGCAACAAGTCCACACGCCTTCTCAAAGCTGCCTTCTCCCCCCCTCGCAGCAGCTGCAGCAGCTGCAGCCGCTGCAGCAGGAAGACGACGAAGAGCTTCCTCCCGCGCCGGTCGCTCCGCAGCCGCATGAACTGTCTCCGCAGCTGCAAGAGCTCAACGGCAGAGCAGCCTCTCTCGAGGAAGCCTTGCTTCCAGCCGTCGCTGTCTCGAAGAGCCTGCGCAGAGACAGTCGCGTGAATTCCACAAGTGCAGCTGCCACGCAAACAGGCACACCAGAAAGGCTGCTAGATGCCATTCTGCTCCCCCCACGACGTCTCCAGACGCCTTGGGGAGTCATGGCAGTCGCGGCTGAAGGCGAGTTTTCCTTCGTCTTCAGCTGCAGAAAGGAAGCCTCGGATCTCTTCTCGCCATCACCCTGCAGAACAAGCCACTGCAGCTCCTGCAGCCGCAGGGGGAGCAAGAGCTGCGACAGCAAAGACTGCTCATGGGAAGCTGATCACTGCTGCTACTGCAGCAGGGAAGGGCGATCCGAAGCAGAAATAGCAGCAGCCAAAAAAACAGCAGCAGATCCTACAGAAGAAATAGCAGCAGCCAAGAAAACAGCAGAAAAAATAGCAGCAGCCAAGAAAACAGCAGAAAAGATGGCAGCAGCCAAGAAAACAGCAGCAGCAGCTCCAGCAGAAGAAATAGCAGCAGCCAAGAAAACAGCAGAAGAAATAGCAGCAGCCAAGAAAACAGCAGAAAAAATGGCAGCCTCCAAGAAAACAGCAGCAGCAGCTCCAGCAGAAGAAACAGCAGCAGCCAAGAAAACAGCAGCAGCAGCTCCAGCAGAAGAAATAGCAGCAGCTCCAGCAGAAGAAACAGCAGCAGCAGCAACGGCGTGGCGAGAGAGCAATGCGCGGAGCAGTCGTGGAAACGTTTGCAGTAAAGGCCATGCTGCAGATTTTGGCGATCGTTTTTTGCTGGAGGAGTTCATGTCGCTGCCTCACCTGCCCTCTTCAAGAGCAGACAAGCTCAAGCCTCGCGCGGTGCATGCAGTCACCTTTGTCGTGGAGCTGGGGGGGGCTTTTGTTCGCTTAGAAGATCCCAACACGAAGACAGTTCTTCGAAGGCTGCATGCACGGTACGTGTGAGTGGGGATGTGATGCACTTCTGCGTTTTTTCGTGCTGTTTGCTGCTGTTGTTGCGACTCCAGCGGCCGATGCAGCGTCTGTTTTCTGAGGCGTGACAGTAATTCCTCGCGCCTGAGCGTCTGCTGCCTGCCCATAGGCTGTGGATGCTGCTCCTTCTCTCTTGGAGGCATGCATGCATGCCTGCATGCCTGCCTGCCTGCCTGCCTGCTTTTTTCAGGTGTCTCTCCAGTCGCAATCGGCTGCGGTATGCGTATGCGGTACACCTGACGGATGCAATAAGAGAGCACTCCACGATGGCTATCCTCAAGAAACCGAATGTATGTGTTGCATGCGCGTGTGGCTTTGGGCAGCAGCAGCAGCACTGCCCCTATTTAATTCGGTGCAAAAGAATTCGCTGGAAACCACTGGCACCCAGAGGGCATGCTGCTACCCTTTGCATGCGTGCACTGCTTTGTTAGCCCTTGCAATCACCAGCCAGCCAGCTTTTTGCAAGTGCTTCGCTTCGCTGCAACACGAGAGGTTCTTCGTTAGGCAGGCAGGCAGCAGGAGTTGCGCTGATGGCGATAGCAGCTAGCGCAGCAGTCGTGGGAACGTCTACCTAACCGTCTGTGAATAGCGGAGGTGTCGCATTGTGTGTGTTCTTGTGCGCCGATGGGCAGATTGGCATCTTTCGACTCATGGGAGACGGCTCCTTCCGTGCATCCTTTTGCATGCATGCACAGCCTCAAATCGCAGCGTTGCTGCTGCGGCAGAAAGTGGCCGTCGTAATGCTGCGGGGAGGCGATGTGCTGCACCTGCGCCAGCCTGACTTGGCAGCCTTTGCTGCTGCTGCGACGGCTGGCGAAGTCGCAGACTGGTGGCTCCCGCTGCTTTCGAAGCGAAGCTTCCCCCCCCCCGACTGCAGCAGCGGCGTTCCCAGACAGGCACGTGAAAGAGTCTCAGCAGCAACGTCTGCTGCATGCGGAAAAAAGACTCAAGACACAACGGCGCAGCAATGCACACTCTCCTTGCCTGCCGAAGAACAGAGCGACTGCGTCTTGGCAATTGCCCCTCGAGTGTCTCCTGCAGCAACAGCAGCAACAGCAGCAGCAGCAACAGCAGCAACAGCAGCAGCAGCAGCTACGGAGGCAATCCTGGGTGCCCTCCTGCAGGCTCAACTTCCAGCCGCAGCCCTCTTACAGGTGTGGTCTGAGTGCCTCCGGTGCTACAAGCGCTGCAGCGAGTTGCATGCGGAGGCAGCAGCTGCAGCAGCGAAGGAGCAGCAGCAGCTGATGCAGCAGCTGCTGGAAGACAGCAGCGACGAGCTCTGTGCCTCTTCCGCGGAAAGGCAGACGCCAGCACAAGACAGCCGTAATCTGCTGCTCCAGCGCGAGCTGCTCCTGCTGCAGAGGCAGTCGCTCCTGAAGCATCTCCCCGCAGAAGCAGTGGAGTGTGAAGAGCCGCTTAGCTGACTTCTTGCTCGCGAGGCGAAGAGCAGTCTCCCCATTTCTCTCCCTACCCCTTCCGAAGCAGCAGCATCTTGGCTACAGCCGCAACACCTTGACTCCTGCGGCTTTTATGTCGTAGCAGAAGACGCCCTCGCTTCTGCTGCTACGCCTCCAAATTTTGACCAATCCCCCTGCGTTGCTGATCCTGCCGCTGCAGCTACCCCCCTCCCTCTGTGTGCTGCAGGTGTCTGTCTATTCGCTTTTTTCCTTTTGCTAACTTACGCAGCCTAACTAGCGGCAACGACACGTGCATGCGAACGTAGCACCTGTCGCCCCTCACTCTCGCCACGCGCTAATTTAAGGCTTACCCCCTCAAGGCACTGCGCGACTGCGCAGGGGGTGAGACACGCTTGCATGCAGCGGCATCTGCCGCTGAGAACGTCGAGGAATTTTTTTTGAACGCTGCTCGGTAGAACCACCGAGAAGGAGGTCTTTTTCAGATGGCTTGGCTGCTGCTCCGCTCGAAGCAGCAGCAGAAGCACTACAGCCGCCTGGGGATCCCCCTATTCAAATAAAAATGAGGCGAAGCCTACTACACTCTAGCTCGAACGAAGCTAGAAGATACACGGCAGCGCTTCACGCACACACGCGGCTCGTGGGAAGCGCTGCACTGCTGGTGCAACGTCGCTTCTACAGCCGCTCAGCGGTGTGTGCCTAAAGCCTCGCGGCTGACCAAATTCTCTCTCCTGCGGGAGCCGCTGTGCGTTCGTGCGTTCATCGTCTCCCTATGCGAAAAGATACACTGCCTTGCTCAAGCCGACTGCAGCGAGAAGACGCAAACTGGGGTGGCATGCCAAATCCTTGACTGGCTGCCTCGGTCCACGAAGAACTGCAACAGCAGCGGAAGGCGGCAGCAGCGCCGCAGGTGTACGTACACCGGCGCTTGGGTTCGCTGCTGCTTCACGCAGCGCGAACACCAACACCTCAGCGCCAGCAGCCTGCAGACGCAGACGCAGAATTCCCCATGCGCATGCACACGAATGTCGACCTACGCGACGTGGTGACACGCGAAAGGGCCGCCTATTCGGCGCGCTAGTCATCTAGCCAAAGTAGATCTCCCGTGTTTCTCTCCCAACCCCTCCTGCCTCCCGGCTAGAAAGCTAAAAAGGCGCTAACTGGCGAACACGGTGGTAGATTTCGTGCAGCCTTGCACGAATTCGCAGCAGTACAGCGATTTTTCCCGCCTAAACGCCTAACTGCTGCTACCCCTGCTGCTCATTTATGCATGTACACGTATCGCCTCCTGTTTCTGCTCATGGTGAGGCACAAAAGCACACGCCCTCGCTCAGAAGGCTCCTGCGTCTCACCCGCTGCGTTGAAACGTAGAGGTAGCCTCCCTCAGTACTTAAGGCCAGAGAAGGGCTTGCGTAGCAGTCAATGTCGGGCACTTGGAGGCGCATCAGCTGGAAAAAACAAGAGACACCGCACCGCATGCAACCGGTGTGAAATCTGTCAAGCATGCGGGAGAGGCATCATTCTTTATCCCCGTCAACGCTGCTGCAACCAGAGAGTAGCGACACCGTTGGCAGCGGCCGCGTCTCGCAACGGCGCGCATGAAGGCTGCACTCTGCATGCAATGGCGCAGCCACACACATACCTGCCGTTGTGTGTGTATGCAAAAGACAAGCACAATGCCTGTGCTCAGGCATGCACACAGCCACCCCTTCTTCTTTTCAGCGGCCATACGAAGCACCGAAACGCCACACGACTGCGTCTGCAGATGCCGCTGCAGACGCTGCCGCTGCGGCAGCTGCCCTAAATCTTCGATGCAAAACACCTCCGACTCCCGCCGCAGCGTCTTCACGTCAAAACATGAAACAACAAGTGCCTCGTGCAACGCGATTGCAACTTTGTCCCCGCTGTCGGAGAGAAAGCACAACGCGCTGCAGATGCCTCCCTGAAAGTCGTGGTGGAAGAGCACGTCAAACAAGCCGGAGGTGCTCTGCTGTCTGTACACCTGAACGCGAACAGAAAAAATACGGTCACCCAGCAGGCCCTTCCTGCTGCTGCGGATACGTTTTGATCGGGAAGTTTTTTAGCTGGCATGCATCTAGGCGGGTGTTTGTCAAGACTTCTGACTTCTATCTACTCGTGCTCCCCGCTGCAAGACAAGGTGCACCACCTCCGCACAGGCGTGCCAACCCCCTTCACCCCTTGAAGCCTACCGCCATCGATCCGTCTCTAGAGATGCTAACAAGTGTATCCCCTTCATGAGAAAACTCGATGCCAACCACTGCTTTGCTGTGCACCTTCAGATGCTGCAATACGCAGCCTTTCGTCGGTACTGAGGCTCCGGAGGCGATCTGCTGCTGCTCCTCCTCCTCCTGCGCAGACGACAGCGGCGACAATACGAACTGTCTGCATGGGGGTTTGGGGGGGAGGAAAAGGCGTCATTAATCACCTCCGCTCAGGAAGAGGATCGAAAGTGAACATGTGCTGCAAATTTACCCATTGAAGAAAGAAAATACCGCCATCGAGAACCCCTGCGGCTAGGAGGAAAGGTGACCTCGCCAAGGCACCTGGGGTGTCTGTACAGCAGGGTGCGCTGCTTTTGCGGCTACCCTGATTGCTCCTCGTGCAAACAGCCATGCAGATGGGGGGGGAAGTAAGGCCTGTCCACTGGCAGATCACTTCACAGGAAACAACGGCGCTCGTGCTGCTGCTGCTGAGAGCCTTGTTGTAGTTGTTGCTGCTCGCAAGGGGAGGATCACAACTTATCTGCAAAAGACAAACGGCCTTGTCAGCTCCCCCTACTGCAAGCAGCGCGTTGCTGCTGGTGGGGGAGGAAGATCTGTCCGACAAGTTCGCATCTTCCGGCACGAAGGTGCAGCAAAGCAGGTTGTGCCGCTGGACATACACTGCGTCTGTCGAGACACTGTCTGTCCCCGCGCTGCTCGCAACCTGCGCGCCGTTTTTCTCGAGAAGGCGAAGTGCGTGAGTGCAACAGCAGCGGTGCTCCTGCTCATTCAGTTTTCCCCAAGCTGCTGCTACAGCCGAAGCCACAGCGGCTTCTGCGGCTGCTGCCAACTCCTCCTCCTCCTCCTTCTCCTCTTGCTTCTCCTCCTGCTCCTCTGCCTGCCACGCGCCTTCCTGAGGGGGCAGTACCTGAAAGCCGTTGAGCGGTTGCAGCACTTCGAAGCTCTCAAAAAGGTCTTGTGGCTCGAGTCGCACTCTTGTCAGGGAGCTGCTTGTTGGTGCGATCGCCTGTGCTGCGTGAACAGCTGGGAAGGGAGTTGCCTTAGGCTGCGCGTCGGAAGGCCCCTCGGAGAGGCTCCCCCCTATACTGCAACTCGTCTTGCTGTCGCCACGCAAGATGCATGCTTGCTGCTCGAGCGCAGTCATCGCTGCAGCGAGAACTGGCCTCCCCCTGAGGAGCTGCTTCATCAGCAGCGCATCGGCGTCTTCCTCGGCGTCCTCTGGAGAACGCGGTGGCGGCGGGGGTGGTTGGTGCTGCTGCTGAGGCTTTGGGGGAAGCCAGGCATCTGTAAATTCGAAGAAATGCGGGATATACCCCACGCCGCTCTCGGCCTCTAACGCAGCCGCGGCAGACGCAAAGCCCGTAGTCTTCAGATACTGCAGCACAGCCTGAAGATTCCGGTGAGTTTCATCGACGTTCGTGCAGTTCAGCATCTTTGGAGCTGCTCCTGCGACCGTCGCTGCGAGGGGAGGGCTGTCTGTACACCTGGTCTCCTGCGCGCTGCGTGTATCGAAGAAAGCCAGATCCCCGGTGCTGCTGTTGGAAAAGGAGCTGTAGCAATGCTGGCAGCTCTCCAAATGCTGCTTCGCGGAGGACGAACAGCACAATAAGTCGGGGTGGTGCAAACTCTCCATCATGCGGTCTGCCGTGATCGCGCGAAGTGCCCTCTGCGGCAGATCCTGCAACAAGTGACGCCACGCGATCACACGGGCTGCTACAACCGCAGACACCTACAGCTGAGCCTAAAAGACGCGATTCTGTCTAATTTCATTCATGCGAAAAAACCCGAGGGGCATTATTCTCGCAGCTCTCGGTGTTATCCGTAGGAGACCGGGTGGCGCCCGGACGCCTCTGGCCTCCACTCCCCGAGGTTGCAGGAGCTGTACGTACACCAGAGGGTCCATAAAATCGCGATCATTATGTCACATACGCCGCGAAAAAATATGAAAGGCAGCCCTCTGAGGCGTCGGTCTGTGTACTACCGAAGACACCGTCAGGCAGGAGGAGGCGCAACCAAGTGTCGATGATGAGGAAGCTGCAGCGCCTTCGTGGCAGCAGCCGCCGCTGCTGCCACGAAGGCGCTGCTGCCGCTGGATCTTTGCGGGAAGCTTTCCTTGCCAGATGCCTGTTAATCAGAAAAAGAGTGCTACACTGCTTATGCGCATGTGCGGCGAATATAATTCCTGAGGAAGGCTTCCAACAGCAAGGCCTGCCGCGCAGATGAGCAGCTGCTGCAGCAGCAGCAGCAGCGGCAGCCGCGTCTGCCACCGATAGAAGAAGCTTCTGGAGTCGCCACGACAAAGTACAGCGCCACCAGGCGCGCATGCGGCAGCAGAAGCAGAAGCAGCCGCGAGCGAGAGACAGAGAGAGGCACTTCTTCGGGAGCCGCCGCTGCAGGGTACACGCTCCTTGAGCTGTGGGGAGGGGAGCTACTGTCAGGAGAGAACCTCCCCTCCTTGGTGTGGCGCTGCTGATGGTGTTGCCGCGGCAGCAGCAGCTCGTGCGTCAAGAATGCTGCAGCTGTGGCGAAGGGCAGCCTCGCGAAGAATACCCCTGCCTGCTGCAGCTGTAGCTGCTGCTGCACCTGCAGCTGGTGCTGTCGGCAATTCAGCGACAGCAGCAACAGCAGCAACAGCAGCAACAGCAGCAACAGCTGTATCTACCCCTCCTCTCCAGCGTTGGACCCTCACCACTCGCAAAGCAGGAAGCGCATGCAGCACTGCGTTTTCAATCCCCGCAGGTGCAGTCTCACCGCAGAGATGCAGCAGCCTCTATGCTCGCAACAACAGCAGCAGCAATAGCAACCCCATCAGCTCCACCCTCTACGTAGCAGCTACACCGCCGATCCCTTTTCCGGTATGGCGCATGCACAGCTACCCCTCCAGCAGCGGTGGGAGTGAGTGCTTCCCCCAAAACAACAACAACTTTCTGTTCTCTCGAAGCCTCTCCGCACTGCAGCAGCGCCTCCAACAAATGCAGCAGTGGCGTGCCGCCTCCTTTGCCTCGAAGGGATTACCTGCCCCCTCCTTTGCAACGGCAGCAGACTGTGCGAAGCCTCCATTTGTTTTTGCTGCTGCTTCGCCGCTGTCATTTGGATCGCAGCAGCACCAACAGCAGCAGCAGCTGTATCAGCAGCACCCCGTCTCGGCGGCAGCAGCAGGTGCTGCTGGCATTGCAGGATCGGTGCAAAAAGAGGAGCTGCAGCAGCTGCTGCATGCGCACAGGCTGCTGCCACACGACGCAGCGCTGCTGCAGCGGCTGGCTGCAGCCCTCATTTCCCAAGATCGACCAGCAGAGGCTGTGTCTCTCGTGGCGAATGCAGCATCAGCTGCTGGTGCGCCTCCCATCTCCGATGAGCTGCTGCTCCAGTGTCTTCAGGCAGCAGCAGCAGCAGACTCGAAAAGCAGCAGCAGCAGCGGGGATGTGCAGCGGCTGCTGCTGCTGCTGCAGCAGCGTCGCAACAAGGCAGTCGGCGACGAAAATGTCGCAGCAGCAGCAGCAGCTGCTGCTGCTGCTGCCGTAGCCGCCACGGCTCGCGTTTCTTCAGGAGCTGCAAGCGGCCTCTCGCCGGAGGCAGCAGCGCAACTGCAGCAGCAACAGCAGCAGCAACACTTCCAGCAGCACTACCAGCAGCAGCAACACCACTTCCAGCAGCACTACCAGCAGCAGCACCAACAACAACAGCGCCAAGGGGTGGCTTATTACTTGCGAGGGCTGTGGAGCATTTTGAAGGCGTTCATGTAAATGCTGAGTCTCCTTCCTTCTGGAGCCGCTGGATCGAGTGTCTGTGGGGGTGTTCATGGAGAGTTACGTGGTTTCGAGGCGGAAGTCTTGAGTTTCTGTGCGAACTTTTGCGTGCGTGTGCCCTTTCGTTTTGCAGCACCGGCAGCTACAAGCTCCTGCTTTCGCCGTTCGTCGGAGTCTTGCTCTTAGTCGGTTGTTTGAGCGAACTGCTGAGGCTGGCTTCCGCAGCTCTCAAGGGTGAAGGCTTTGGTGCTGCAGCAGGGGGCAGCAGCAAGTGGGTGGCGGATCGCATCGTCTCTCCGGAAGACATCAAGGATTCCTTTGACAGCGTGAAGGTGAGACTCAAACGCGTTAGCCTTAGAACGCAGGAAGAAAACGCGGGCGAAAAAACGGGGAGAAAGGGGGGAAAAAACGGGGAGAAAGGGGGGGAGGAGTAGTAGCAGGAGCAAGGGAAGGGAGGCGGGGTGGGGGTGGGTGGTGTTTTGTTTTATTTTTGTGTAGAGGACTGTATATGCTGATGTTGGGGGATTCTTGTTGAGCGATCGCCTTTCTTCGCAAAAGCGTTTCTTGCCTCGCGCGAACGGATGCCTTCGAGTCAAGGCTCTCGCGGCTGCATGCAGGGATACGAGGAAGTAAAGAAGGAAGTGCGTGAAATCATTGAGTATTTGAGAGATCCTGAGAAATTCCAAGCGATCGGCGCGAAGCTTCCCAAAGGCATTCTCTTGCACGGACCCCCCGGTAAATTTCTCCTTCCTACTACGCTGGAAGTTGTGTGTCTTGACATCTGTCTCTATCTGCGTCTATCTGCATCTATCTCTCTCTCAAGTTGGAGCTTTCGCTTTTACGCATGCGTCTCTTGACGTTTGGCTACGGCTTACGTAAGGGGAGAGTGCCGCGCAGCATTTGTTTTTTTTTCACGGAATTCTGTGAGGAGTGGAGAGAGAGAGAGAGACAGACAGACAGGCGGGGAAAGGGTGTGTGTGTTTTATGTTCAGGCACCGGAAAGACGCTTCTAGCACGCGCTATTGCGGGAGAAGCAGGAGTGCCTTTCCTGCATGCGTCGGGATCCGACTTCGAAGAGATGTTTGTCGGCGTGGGTGAGCGGCGCTGTGTCTCTGTATGTCTGTATGTATGTGTATGTATGTCTGTATGTATGTGTCTGTATGTACGTATGTATGTGTGTGTGTGTCTCTCTCTCTATATATATAAATGTACATATATTTATCCATTTATTAATATTCATATGTATATCTTAATATATATGTATATATATATATATGTATATATTTATTGATTTATATTCATATATATATCTTAATATATATATATCTTTCTCTGCTGCGTCTACTTGGGCGCATGCGTTGAGTCGTGCTGCGCATGCTCCCCAGTGCTCTTCTCTGGCTCCTCCTATGCATGCACATTTCTCGATTTTTATTGCAGCTGGCGATTTTCTCGGAGGCTTAACGGCTTTACTCTAACAGAGTGGCCGCTGTTGCGATGCCTGCGACTCCGCCTTCCCCTCCATGCGCATGGCAGCAGTTTTCCTCGCCTACATCTGTGCTGTTTCTCCCTCTCTCTCTCTCCTCTTCTTGCGCACTGTTTAGGCGCAAGCCGCATAAGGAGTCTCTTTGCAGCAGCTCGAGCGAAGGGGCGTTGCTTGCTCTTCATCGACGAGATCGATGCAGTAGCAGGCAGCAGGCGACTTGACACCAGTGGCAATTTCCGCCAAACACTTAATCAGCTTCTTGCAGAACTAGATGGATTCAAACCGGTACAGACCTTCCTCCTCCACGAACCACGTTGTGCTGCTGTTTTTGCTTTTGCTCCTGCTGCTTTTGTTTTTGCTGCTCCTGCTGCTTCTGCTTTTGCTCCTGCTGTTTCTGCTTTTGCTGCTGCTGTTTTTGTTCTTGCCACTGCTGGTTTTGCTACTGCTGCTTTTGCTGCTGTTGTTTTTGCTACTGCTGCTTTTGCTGCTGCTGTTTTTGCTACTGCTGCTCTGTTTGCTGCTCCTGCTGCTGCTCCTGCTCCTGCTGTTGTTTTTGCTGCTCCTGCTGTTTTTGCTGCTCCTGTTTTTGCTGCTCCTACTCCTGCTCCTGCTGCTGTTTTTGCTGCTCCTGCTCCTGCTGTTGTTTTTGCTGCTCCTGCTGTTTTTGCTGCTCCTGTTTTTTGCCGCTCCTGCTGCTGTTTTCGTTGCTGCTGTTTTCGTTGCTGCTGTTTTTGTTGCTCCTGCTTTTGCTCCTGCTTCTGCTGTTATTTTTGTTGTTCTTGCTCTTGCTGTTGCTGTTTTTTGCTGTTGCTGTGTTAGCGCTTCTTTCCAACCCCGCTGCTGTCGACATGCCTTACACTGCCACGGCGTTAGTCCATCGAGACTTCGCTCCTCGCAGTTCTAACAATGATGTCATTCACTTTGCATGAATCGGCTTGCTACGCACATCCTTCTCGTTTCTTGCGGATTTAAGCTTCTCCACACACTGACACACACCATCTCGCCTTCCCTTATCGGAACGCCTCTCCACGCCTCCCTCCACACCTACCCCTGCTTGTCGCTTCTGCCAGCATTTCTCTGAATGCTCTTTTTCGTCTATTCATTCTCTCGACTACTTCTTCTTCCTCCTTATTTTCTCTCGACTGCTTCTTCTTCCTCCTTCTCTCTCGACTGCCTCTTCCTTCTTCTCTCGACTGCCTTTTTCCCTCCTTTTCTCTCTCTCGCCTACTACTACTTCTTCCTCCTCCTTTTCTCTCTCTCTCTCGCCTACTACTACTTCTTCCTCCTCCTTTTCTCTCTCTCTCTCGCCTACTACTGCTGCTTCCTCCTCCTTTTCTCTCTCTCTCTCGCCTACTACTACTTCTTCCTCCTCCTTTTCTCTCTCTCTCTCTCTCGCCTACTACTGCTGCTTCCTCCTCCTTTTCTCTCTGAACTGCCTCGCTTTTGTCCATGTGTTTCCGCCTGCCCTCCCCTCCCCCCTCCCTCTGCCGACCACGTCTCTGCTGCCTTTTCGGCTTCTCCCCGTTCTGCCTCTCCCGCGTTTTCCCTCCCTCCCTTTCCCCCCGATCGCGCGTGTCTCTCGCGCCTCGTCGCCGCCGCAGTGTGGCTGCTGTAACGTGGCTGCTGTGACGTGCGCCGTGTGTCTGTTCGACTGCCGCGCAGACTGAAGGTATCGTTCTCATCTGTGCAACCAACTTGCTGGGATCGATCGACTCCGCACTGCTGCGTCCAGGTCGTGTGGATAAGACAGTCTTCGTGCCTTTGCCATCTTTAAAGGAGCGACAGGAGGTGGGTGGCGCTGCTTGGAGCACAGGCGTAGTAGCGTGCGCAGCGCCTGCGGAGTCGCAAGCCGCTCCTGCATCTGTCCTCTAGGCACAGACAGCAGCCGTTTCGCACGGCGAAGGGGCAGTCAGTTGGCGTGCGGCTTGCGTGTCTTGTGCGGACTGCTGAAGATGCTGGAGTACTACGCCTCGCGCGTGCAGCTGTCTCCGGATGTAGACTTGTCTCTCTACGCGTCTCTTACCTCGGGACTGACTGGAGCAGACGTTGCCAATCTCCTGAATCTTGCAGCCATACGGGCAGCCAGCAGCGGCAAGCAGCAGGCACGTTTTGGGGGGTACCTTCTCGACGCGCGCTCTCTGCGTGGAGAGTAGCGGCTTCCCCCTCCTTCTCCGCATCCTCTCGTCTACGCGCATGTCGCGGCGCAGTTCGAGAGACTCGCCTGCATGCGTGCACGCATGCGGGCGAGAGAGAGCGAGGCTCTTCAATGCATTGCATCTTGCCTGCTGCTTCCCCACGTAGCCTCTCTTGGCGCTCTGCCCCCGCAGCGTGCGTCTCCTGCGGCGTTGTTTTGCGATCGATCTCGCGCAGCCAAACTGCTGCTGCTGCTGCTCCTTCTTTTTCTTAGGTCACAAATGCCGAACTAGAGGACAGCTTTGATCGACTCAAAGTCGGCAACAAGCGAAGCTCCGCAACGCTTGAAATCGAAGAGAAAACTGTCACTGCGTTTCACGAGGCAAGCACGCACATAGGGGGGCAGGGGGGAAAATCGTAAATCGCGTGCACACTGGAGCTGTGTGTGATCGGCTTTTCACCATTGGTAGCTCTTTGGTGCACTTCTGCGTCGGCCGTCCCTTCCTGGGGTGTATATGTGTATGTGTATATGTATGTATGTGTGTATTTGTATGTGTATGTATATGTGTATATGTATGTGTATGTATGTGTGTATATGTGTATATGTATGTGTATGTATGTGTGTATATGTATGTGTATGTGTATGTGTATATGTATGTATGTGTGTATATGTGTATGTGTATGTATATGTGTATATGTATGTGTATGTATGTGTGTATATGTGTATATGTGTATGTGTATATGTGTATGTATATGTGTATATGTGTATGTATATGTATATGTGTATATGTGTATGTACGTAGGTGTGTATATGTGTATGTATGTGTGCTGCCGCCTCTATCGCTGGCGTTTTTTTCGCCGAGCACATGTTTTGTCTGCATGCGGACTCTGCCGTCGTAATTTCTGTGCCGCAAGCGCCTCCTCACTGCTTTTGCTTCGGCACAGAGAGTGGTCTGCCCGTGCATTTTCGTTTTGTCGTCTCAGGGAGGGCACGCCTTGATGACGCTCTACTCCTCTCACGCGGCAGCACTCCACAAAGCCTCCATCCTCTTCAGAGGCAACGCCCTAGGGGTCACCTGGCAAACCGAAAAGAAAGAAAAATACACGGAGAGGCAAGTCGAGCGCCTTCGCTTTCTTAACTCTGAAAGGAAGGTGCTCTCTGCTGCGCCAGTTTAATGCATTCGGATGCGTAGCTGGCCGCTTAGACGCTTCAACTAGTCGCTTTAGGCGACTCCGCCTCGCCTGCTTGCATGCGCGGCTCGTAATACAGACTTCTAGGGGCCGGCGCAGCGTACAGTCCATCGCATGCGGCGACCGCATGCGCAGACAGACAGTCTCCGAATTAGCAGCCAAATCACGTGCACTTCCTGGCACAGACAGACGTGCGTCACGCTGCACTTCATGTCACTTCACGGCGCTGAGCCGGCGGGAGGAGGTGCTTGTCTTCAGGTTCACCGACTTCTTCGATCAACTGAAAATACTGCTGGCTGGGAAGGCAGCCGAGGAGCTCCAATTTGGCAGAGACAGAGTCTCGACGGGGTGCCTTAGCGACCTGCAGAAAGCCACGCAGATGGCGAGACACCTCGTAAGCGGCAAGGTCGAAACTGCGCACAAAAGCGTTCTCTGCAGAACCTTCGTTCCCAATTTTATAGAGGGCCTGCAGCTGCTGCTTATGCTGCAGCTGTTGCTCAAGCTGCATGCCTTCGATGCGCCGTTTTGCCGCGCGAACGTGTGGCGAGCTTGCCGATAAGGCTCCTCGCTGAAAGGCCTTTGCGAGTCGCTCTTAGAAGGTGGTGTCTGCTGCTCTGTGCTGGAGTGTTGGCTTGCGTGTAGGTAACATCCTTTGGGGTTGGCTTGGAGGACGACTCTAACAGCGGCAGCAACAAGGGTACCAACAACAACACGGCTCAGGGGAGTTTAGGAGGTCCTTCCAGTGTGTGTCTCGACTCCGTAGAGGGGGTAGCCTTGTCAGAGTCGCTGAAGCAGCGAATCGAAGCAGCGACGCAGCGGCTTCTCTCTGCGGCTTTCGAGGAGGCGCTCGGCGTTCTCAAGGCAAAGCAGGACGAACTGCAGCGAGTAGCGGAGGTAGGGCACTGCTGCTGCCTTGCTGCTGCCTCTGCTTTCGCCTCTGCTTTCGCCTCTGTGGCTTCTTCTGAAGTGGTCAACATGCAGCACCCGCTGCCCTTGCCGTAGCAGCACAGACAGCCTTTCGCGATCCAATTTTTTCGCCTGCATTTCCTGCACTGCAGGCCTTGCTGAAATACGAGACTCTCACGGCAGATGAGATACGGGCTGCTGCTGCTGGCACGCTGAACCTCAACAAGGAGCAGCAGCAGCAGCAAGCGCCGCAGCAGCAAGCGCAGCAGCAGAAGCACGAGCATTCCGAACAAACGCAGCAGCAGCAACACGCAGCAGCAACAGCAAAAGAAGCAGCAAAAGAAGCCATTGCAGCCGCTCCCAGCAGCGCTAGCAAGCAGCAGCAACAGCATGCACAGATACACCGAGACGGCAAGGAGGCAGGTCAGTAAACGGTTTGCTGTCTGCAAGAAAACACAGAAGGTTCAAGGCAAACAGAGATCATGGATCTGGCAGTACCTACCACCCACAATAGCACTTGCTTCAAAATCAATGGGAACTACAGAGTTGCAGCAGGTTTAGCACAAAAAGAGCAACAAGGCATTGCTTTTCGTAGAGTCACTTTCAATGCACACCACGCCTGGGGGCGTGATATGCGGCTTCTGCGACAAGAGCGGCAACGCGAGTTCTTATTGAATGTGCTCTAGAAGAAGAAGGCGATGCAAGCCACGCTGAAGGTTTAGGAAAGGGGTGTAGCCAGGGAGGAGCACGTATAAAAAAAGCGTTAGGCTGTCTGTTAACCCTGCTCCCTAGAAACATCTCCGCTTAAGCCGGACACAAACGCAAGCATCTGAAGCTGTGTAGGCATATAGCAGGCTTTCTAGACAGGGATAAGGCAGCTTGCACGAAGCGGGAGACTGCCAGCTTTCACATCAGGTGCAAGTGATATTGCACTGGGTGGCATCCACACTGGCGCCTCTCCGGCAGAAATACGGGATTCTTCTCCTCATTGCGGTATTTGAGAAGCCTTAGATACATCTGTAGAAGTCTTTTACTAAAATAGCTAAATCCCCGCACACCTATGTGGTAAAGCATGTGCCAAAAAGGGGCTGGTAGCTGCGGGGAGGTCCGTAAGCTGGCGAGCAGCTAGGCACCCATAAAAAACGAAGCTTAGAGACTCGCACTTTGTGCAGGCATGGGAATATCGTCGGTACGGGGGCAAAGCCGCGAAACGTGGTTTGCAAGTGCTACGGAGAAATACCCACAGTATGTAGCATGGGGGTGGTGTATGTACACCCGTTTTTCTATCGATTTTCCGGGCACCTACTGGGCCGGCGCTCGAGTGCAGGGCTCTCGCAGGTAAAAGTACGAAAAATCGTTTGAAGAAAACCTTTTGAGGGGTACACTATTGAAAAGGGCTCATGATGGTCATCAACATAACATGAGATTTTAGCTGAGCCGCATGTCCATGCGAACATGCCGGTGAGGAGGGTGTCGTGACAGCCAAACCACGTGGTGCTAGCGAGAACACATCGAAACGGAAGCCGATGGGAAGAAGGCTTCAAAACCAAGGGAAATACTCACACTCAAAGCGCCTGCTTCCAGCACCGGACCCTACTTCAGAGATACCTGCTATCGAAGATAGATACGATTATGTGTTTGTGTCGTGAGGCTGTGGTCCACACATAGGCTTAGGATGTTTGAGGTGTATGGCCACGACTCCAAGAAACCTAGTGCCGGAAGGCATTTGTGAGTGGTGATTCGAAAGCGGCGCGACAGTGGTGGCAACATAGAACAACCTTGCAGTTAATGAAAAGGTCTCACCCGTATCCTGGCTAGAGGGGTGGTTTTGCTGTGGCGCATCAAGTTTCTAAAAAAACCCTCGAGTCGCATGAAAAAGAACCACAACCAACGGGAGATCGAGGAGCTTTTTGGCTGAATTTCTCTGCTGGTTCGCCCAGTGCCAGGCGAGACCATGTTGCGTCCCTTGAAGAACGATGTACACGAAGGATGCATGAAGGCCAAATGGAGAGACATTAAGACACAGTCCTAGTGCTCTCGTAAGGCACGGAAAACCAGGCTAAAGCGCAAATATTAGATGCGTCTACCTCTATAAATTCCTAACCCTCTCGGACAGACCGACCGATATATATATAGTCACATAGGGATGCGTTTAGAAGGGGCTGATGCTGTAGATCGGCAGCATGACGTTTCAAAGGTGTCTCGAATGCGGTGTGAGCAAGCTCCTGCCTTTCCTACGGTGATAGTGGAGCCTACAAAAGAGATGCAAGGCTGGCTATGCGCTATTAGCTCCGTGGCAGCTTTTTCACACGTCTGCGCACTGCCACGCGAACACGGAGAAAGACGGTGACACGACGCAGGCATGCATGCAGAGGACTTGTGTCACAATTCGCCTTTTAGATGCTTTTGACATGAGCAGCTGCTTAAGATCTGCCCGCACGTCTTCTCTGTAGGTACTGTGGACCAGCCGGTTCAAAAATGTGCGACACCCACGGCTCTTGAAAGTATTTACTCGCCATCCTATCTCGGCAGGAGAACGTGGCCTACTGGAATGTGAGGAGAGGAGCTCCCAGCTGCGAGGCATCTAGACTTGCCGAGCTAACCAACACGCAGGAGGCGGCAGAAGAGGAGCACTCAACACGTGAAGCTGCAGGCACCGTACGGCTCCACTCTCTTCCTTAGTTTTCGAGGGTAGCCCACCAGTGTGGCTCTCCGTCAGAGGCAACCATAAACACACATTCAACCCAGACTCGATGCAAACTTAGTGGTAAGTTACTGTGTATCATTGCGGGAACCTGCGCCTTGTCCTTCCCGCGATTGCATGGCTTCCCTACATAGGGGGAGAGGGACTGCTAGGCTGCTCGTAGCTGCACCCTTTAAGCTCTCCTAGCATTCACAGCAGCTAGTCGCACATTGCATCGAGCTCACACACACACACACACACAATACTAGTCAGTTCCTTACCATTTTTAGGAGTATATGACTAGAGTAGTACAAACTTCTTAAGTGTCGTTTTAGCCCGCTTAAGCTTCCCCTATTTTTACATAAGCATCCTCGTGCTTCGTGCCTGTTCGTCAGGACCAGCTCCGTGCAGGAACTGCGAAGGAAACTCGTTCTATCATCACTCCCCACTCAAAAGCATACACCAAAGCACTGCAAAGGAGGATCGCAATGTTGTGCATCAACTGCTAGGGTGAAATGTACAAGAAGAACGACACACACACTGGCCAACAAATGGGGGGCCAAATTAATATGGCCGTGGCTGCGCGATGCTTCGCTCTCGTCGGAGCTTTGAAATGTCTGAGCCTCCTGTTGCAAACAAACTCCCGTAACATCTTTAAGGGTGGAACATAACGGCACTGGTTCAGCAATGCCTCCGAACCTCACGGAGCAGCAATGTCAGCGTGGAAACAGCCGATGCATTCAGCCCAGTAAATTTCAAAACTCCGAAAGAGTCAATAGGATAATGTGCGGACAACAAAGTTGAGAGCGGCTGCGCACAAACTGGAGTGTACAGAGCACCCTGAGAATAATTATTAGAGACTTGGCAAGCAATACTCAAAGATGAAACTAAGCGTCTGGCACACTGTGCGCCAGGGGAGGGCGAAAACCAAGAAAGCTCCAGGAATATTGTACATTCCGACTAGCCATGTGAGCCAAAGGAGCCGCAGTTTTTCTTCGCAGGCAATACGAAGCTCGCGAACAGTGCCTGCTTTGCAACCCACAGAGGCCGATGTTCCCCACACCATTGCACTAGAAAGTCTCGTTAAAAATCCAGCCCTTCTACGGCTCCATGTGGACCCTCTGTTTTCACACGGAATGCGTGTCAGCGCGGCATGGTCTGAAAATAATTCAAAGTAGTGTGAAACTTTTCTACAAGCCTATATTGATAGTTTTATGGTTCCCCCGTCAGTAGGGAACGTGATAGAGGCACAAACTATTGCTTCACGGAATACCAAACCGCCCTAGTCACTTGCTCGCCGCCTTTTTCGTTTGGTCATACTCTGGGCAAAGCTTGTTTGACCCACCAGAATCAAAATCTCAAGCTGAACACACACAACCTATAGATGGCTAATCTGCACTAAATACTTCTACAAGAATTCGTCAAGACTTGTCTAGCTGGATCGCCTGCCTGCATATCATTTTTATTGCCGAGTGACGTTAGCTTGATAGAGCACTATGCAATGTGTGCCTGCGAGCAAGGTCCTACGTGCAACTAGGTGTGAATGCTCCGAGATCCTAGAGGATGCAGGTACAAGCATCCTAGCTGTTCCTCTCCCCTCATCCAAATAATTCTGTGAGCCTCAGACACAAGGAGACAGAGCACGCATTTACTTTTTACCGAGTCAATATTACGTGCGTGGTTAAACGTCTCCCTTTGTGTAGTTTGAATAAGGCCTTACAGTTGGTAGCGCTACACGGTTCCATGCGGATGCTTCCAGCTTATCCACTGGCTGTGGACGCAATGGGATATCAGGGTTCCGTACAAAAGCAGTATGCGTTATGTCAGCCTATTGAGTCATTCAATATTTTGATTTTATTTGGCACCATAGGGGGAAAATACGCTCGGCAACTGAAGGGGCTTGTGAGACAGTGCCTGTTGGGGCAGCACAGGCTGGCCTGCACGCAACTGTGAAGATAAGGTCCCTTCTGCTGCCAGAAAGGCATGGTTTTCAGTTTACATAATGTTGGTGGGTGCGCCATCTGGAGAGGCACCGCGCTCATTACCCTTGTATGAACAGAAAGCGATGTTACTTGTGGCATGTTTATTTGAGGGAGCAGCATTTCCATAGCGACTCTATTCGTGCAGAGGAATTTGCCCGCCTACAGAGATCAGTACAGTGCAAACCTTCATAGAGGTCTGTGCGCAGTGGTTTGTGCTGAGATCAACCCAACAGCAAGCTGTGAGAGAGCCGAAACTGTTCGAGCAGGGAAATTCAACAACAGACCGGTATATCAGCCAGAAGTGATAATGTGTGGCTTGCAAACGCCGTAACGTAGACGAACAGCTGCTTGAATAAAGGATTTTTCAGGTTTACCCGAAGTGACACGTCCTGTAGTCTCAGAATGGCAGAGACTCAGTAATAATGCAACCGACCAGTGACGCTTTAGAATTGATGAACCACTTGAGTAGAAAGCAACTGAGTGCTCTAACTTCTCCTGCCGGGGACCCCACAATTCTTTCGAGTGAGTGGAGAGGGACAGCTAGGATGCTTGTAGCTGCCCCCTCTAGGCACTCCATGCATTCACATCTAGATACGCGTTGCTCCTATCTCGCAGGCACCCACTGCATCGTGCTGTATCAAGCTGACAGTCTCTGCAGTAAACAGGTATATGAGCAGGCCATCAAATAAGGCACGTCTTCACTAGTCTTTGTATGATCGGAGTAGGAAGTGTTTAGTGTAGCTGAGTGTAGCTGAGCCTGCCACTCCAGCGCTGCACGACGTGACTGCGTAACTCCTGAGGGTCCCCTTTCGGCTCGCGACTGGCCCTGTGGTGCATCAGCCGCAAGGACTAGCGAGAAACCACAAGATAGCATGGCAGCAGTGCAAGAGAGCAGGATGCTGCCACGAGAGAATGCTCATCAATATAGGCACCAGCATGCGTGTGCGCATATTGTACGTAGTAGAACTGGAGAAGGAGCTCACATCGACAGCGCTAATGCTCTATGAAGAGCCGTCCGCTACGGCACTTGACACCGAACCTACGTCTTCGCGCAAACGGTTTCAGTGGGTTCAACGAAAAATCGCCTTAGTCCAACTAAGGCCAAGCGCGTCCTCCGCACTCGCTTGCCTGATGCAAAGGGGTGTCAGGGAGGCTCATTGAGGCTATTCTGGCGCAGCGCATGGCTGCCAGCACTCTGGAGGAGGCCACTTCAGCAATACTCGGCTTCCCCCCAAGCGGCCCTGCCGAGTGGTGGCTGCCTGCTGCCACCACTACTCTCGCAGGTGTACTAACTGTCTACACACACACACATACACACACTGCGTTCGTTTTGCAAAACGTCACGGGCTTGGTGCGCGAGCCGGTGCAACACTGCATTAAGGGTGTCTCGCCACAGCGACACCACCAAAATGACGAAGAAGCAAGGTCTTGCAAACCGTGGCCTCTCCGTCGTTTTGCATGCGCAGGAAGAAGCGTCGCTCGCAGCCCTCTGCGGGGCTGAAGCCTGCGATCCATGGGCCCCGCTGCCTAAACATGCACTTTTTTTGGAGTCGCGTGTAATTTTACCGGTTTATTTGTTTCCCGTTTTTGTCTGGAGTGTCTTGCGGGGGTCGCATGCATGCCGCCTGCCGCCTGTGTGATCGGCCCGCCCACCGTTCTCGCGCTGCCCCCTGCCCGCCACTTTTCGGGTGTCACGACAGCTGCGCGCGTGCAGCTCGCATGACCGCCGGAGCAGTGCCGATCTCCGCGTTCTCGCGCACTCCGCGGCTCATTCTGCGGAGAATTTCCCGCAGCAGCCCTTTCAATATCTTTTAACGCCCCCGCTCCCCCCGCTGCAGCAGGATGAGCGGCAAGCCTTCCGCCACAGGTCTCCCAAAGGCGGCGAGAAACAACGCCTCTGCGACCACCTCTTCGGCAGCAGCAGCAGGAGCAGCCGCTGGACCCCGAACCGATGGCGACGACCTCAAGTTCGCATCTCTTTTGGGAGTGCTGGTGGCGTTCCCAAGCCGCGAGGAGTCGGAGGCTTTCGAGCCGCTGGCTTCGGAACTGTCACCCGCGCTTCTGCCCGTCAACGGCTTGCCCCTCGTCGATTACGCAATCGAGTTCATGCAAAGAAACGGTGGGTGGCTGCTGCTGCAGCGGACAGGCGTCTGGTGTTGGGTGTCTTGCACTTTTCGCGAAGCGGCGACTGCGCGTCTGCCGTGGGGCAGACTGCCCAGGCGTCTGTTCCTCTTCGGCGAAACCCTCCCCACTGACAAGCCAGCGGCTGATCAGGGGGCATGAGTGGCTCCAGCTGCTACTCTCCGGCTTGGGCGCGTTCAACGCATCTCTTGTGCGCGTCTGTTGGCTTTCTGCGGCTCCAGGGGTTACTGAGCTGTACGTGTTGGTGCGCGATGATCCTGCTGGACATGAAGTACAGGCTGTCGTGGAAAAACACCAACAAAGGCAGCAGCAGCAGCAGCGGCGCTGCAGCAGCAGCACGGGCGCCCGCGTTGGCAGCAGCAGCAGCAGCAGCAAACTGCCTCCTCTGCGTCTGCATTGCATGGTGCTGTCTGCCGCCGTACAGTCCGTTGGCGACGCCCTTCGAGACTTCGATTCGAGGGTGGATGTCAGAAGCAGTAAGGACGAATCGAAGGAGACAACGACACGTTTCGCCAGTGCTCTCCCCCCTTCCTTCTCCCTCCCTCTCCTCTGGATCCACCTCGCGGGGGGGAGGAAGGGGGGAGAATATCTTCGTGGTTTATTGGTAGTAACGCATCTAAGGACTGTCAACTCGCCTTGAGACCATCACACTCCCTCTTTTTTTCCCCCCCCCCCCTCGCTCTTGCCTCGTCTTCACTCTTCATCGTGCCGCATCCCTTTCCGTGTGGCTTCTCTACTTCGCATGCTGCGCCTTCTCCACTGCCTGACCTCGTCTAAAGCATTCTCTTTTTTGGACGCTTTTCCCACCCCTTCTCCTCTCCTCTCCTCCCCTTCTCCTTCTCCCCCGAAACACCCCTCTTGTTGCCTCCTTCTACCCACGTTGCATGCCGCACCTGCTTCTTCACACAGTTACCTCTGCTGAGCTGCTCCTTTCATGAGGATTTCAAGCAACTCTCTCCCTGTCTCTCTCTCTCTCTCTCGTGCGCTTCTCTTTCTCTCTCCAGCCGCGGCTACACTCTGCCTTCCAGTCCCCCCTCACCTCTTCCCCCCTCACCTCTTCCCCCCTCACCTCTTCCCCCTCACCTCCCTTCTTCTCCCCCCGAAGAGCATTCTTGCATGCCAGAAAGGACCTGCTCTCTTACACTTGCCCGACCCTTGCAACCCCCTCCTCTCTGTTGCTGCCTCCCCTGTTCTCACGCTTCTGCAGCTTTTGTGCTGATGAGCGGCGCAACTCTCGCAGTCGGAGACTTGCGCAGTGCAATTGCTGCCCACAGTCAGCGTGTCTCCTCCGGAGGTAAGAAGGCTTCAGCAGCTCTTACGTGGGTACTTAAAGTATCGCCTCCAGGCAGCAGACAACGAGGGCTCCCCGATGATGCTGGCCTCATTTATGATGAAGACTCTCTGCAGCTCCTCGCCTTTAGCCCCTTGCACAGCAAGCGTGCGCTGCTTGTCACCGACGAACTGCTCAACGTAAGGCTAGCTACGTGCGGGGAGGGAGAGGGGCGGGGAAAGGTGTGTGGGGAGAGGTGGGTGGGTGTTTTTGCTCCTTTCTTGCGCTGCTTCTGCGTCTAAAAGGAGGGGGAAGGAGGGGGGTAGCCGCGCGCAAGCTCTCGACTCCTCCCTCCTGCTGAATCTAAAAGGCCATCTTCTCTTTTCCTTTTTCCTCTTCTTCTTCTCCCTTTCTTCTACCCCTCTGCTTCTTCCCTTTTCCGTCTACCCTATTTCTTCGCTGCTCTTTTTCTTCCCCTTCTTCTTCTCTTCTCCCTTCCTCCCGCTTCGCATGCGTTTCACGCTATTTCCGTCTGCCTGCCTGTATGTACGTCTCTCTCCGTTTCTCACACCCCCATATGCTCTCTCTCTCTCTCTCTCTCTCCACGTTTCTGTCTTTCTCTGTTTGACGCGTGTTATTTTCTCTGTCAGAGAGCATCTACAGGATCTCCAATTCGCGTGCGGTATGATCTGTCGCTCCCTGAGCTGTACATCTGCGAGCCGTCGGTGCTGCGCCTCTTCGGCCAGAGCTTCGACTTTGACACGCTGCAGAAGCATCTCATCCCCCACCTCCTCAAGCAGGAGCTGCAGCTCGAGACGATCTTCTGCCATGTGCTAGAGGCAAGCAGTCGCAGCAGCATGCTCCCCTGCGCTGTCTGTCTGTCTGTCTCTGTCTGTCTGACTGTCTGTCTGACTGTCTGTGGCAAGAATGCAAACCCGCAGGAAGTTGAAGATCCTGAGTGCCTCTGTCTCTCGGACGAAGCTGCAACAGTGACAGAGATGCATGTGCATGCATCTCTGTCTCTCTCTGTCTCTCTCTCATGCATGCTTCCTCTTTTTCCTAGTCTATCAAGTGCAGAATCGAGCAGCTCTCTCCCTTCCCCGTGCTTTTGGCCTATGCGCGTACATGCGATGCGAGGCGTCGTCGTCGCGTGCCACAGGCGGAGAGACAGACGAACAGTCAGCTGTATGTCTTGACAGCGCGTGATCCAAGAGGCTACCAGGCAGTCTTACGAGACGTTCTCGAGCGGTGGACGTTCCCTTTAGCTCCAGATTCGCATGCTCTTGAGGCTCAGGAATATCTCAAATATCGAGGTCGTGGGGTGTATCAGGTGTGTTGTGGCTGCTAGTATCTGCCCTTTGCCTTTCCTTGGCAACCCACCCCTCTCTCCCTTGCGCATGCGCTCACCACTCATGCATGCACGCTGGCGGGAGTCGCATTCCTCCTGAAGGCTTTTCTCGAAAAAAAAGCTGCCTCCAAAAGTATGTGCTTGCCTTCGTAAAACAGCGTCTGCTCGTTCCTTAGAACCCCACTATCGTCTATTTCTTCACCTGCTGGTTGAACTGTCTTCGCCTCTCTCTCGCGCGCGCGCGCGAGGCGTTCTTTGTGTCTCTACAGACCAGCCGTCCAGGCATTTCTCTTTCTTGCTGCCCTCTGTAGCCGACTTTCGCGAAGCCCATACTACGCTCCTCCGTTCTTCATTCGATTGTATATACATATGGATGCATGGAAGTGTGGATGTATGGAAGTGTGGATGTATGGAAGTGTGGATGTACGTACACATATATATATATATATATGGATGTATGTATGTACAGGTATAGATATATATATGTATGTATGTATATATATATGTATTTATATGTCTACAAATATATATGTATATATAGATGTGTATGTATGTATGTGCATACACACACATGTCTACATAAATATACGTATACATATGTACATACATATATGTATGTTACGCATGTATGTGTACACGTGTGGAGTTGCTCAGTCGTCAAGCGTCTCCGCGGGGGTGGGGGGTTCGATAGGCCCCTTGGCTGCTATTGAAGGAGACGCGAGCGTTGGAGACAGCACGGAAATTCGCGAGAGTCTCGTGGGACGGTGTTGCAGCATTGGCAACAACTGCAGCATAGTGGGGTCGTTGTTGCTGGCAGGCGTAACTGTGGAAGACGGAGCCGTTATCCACGACAGTCTGATTGCGTCGAAGTGTGTCATCAAGAAGAACGCCAGACTGAACAGAGGCTGCTTGCTTGCACCAGGAGTGGTGGTTGGTGAGGGGGTGACTTTGCCTCCCCTCACACGCTGCTGCCTGCCGTCTGCTCCAGCCATGCAGCGACTTCGTCAGCAGCAAAGCGATGCATGCGTGGAAGCAGCGGCAGCTTCCAAGAAGGGAGAAGACGCCTCGAAGACAGTTTCCTTGGGGCAGGATGGGAAGGGTGTCGTCTTTCCCAATCCTGGAGGGGGAATGTCTCCTGCAGACTTTGAGGCTGTGAGTTTAGGAGCCTCCGTCCTCCCCCGTATTCGTCTGCCGCTCCCCAAATTCGACGCTGAGGATGACGACGTAAGAAGTGAAAAACTCTCTCCGCGTCGCCGTTGCTGCTGCTGCTGATAGTGATGACGAGCTCTGAGGAGAATTCGCTTTTGGCGCACTTTTAGAGCTCCCACGCGTCGCCACAAGAAGTCGCGCTGTTGCTGCGCGAAGGAGGAGGCAGCAGCGGCAGCTGCAGCAGCAGCGGGAGGAGCTCCCTCTGAGACGGAGGGAGATCTGAGGAAGGAGGGCGACTAGCTGTTGTTGACTGCAAGATGCCTATTTCTGGATCTTATGCGCGTCTTCTGGGTGTGCTTCAGACGCAGTCACGCGCGTCGGATGCGTGCACGGCTCTCAGCGATTTCGATCTCGCTAGTGCCACAACCTCCCAAGAGCAACATGAGGTTGGCTTTTGCAGCAAGCAAGAAGGGGGCTTATCACGCAGTGGCTTCTTCGTATCGCTAGCTCGCCTCACGCAAGTCACCCTAAGCGTCTCGTCGCCACTGCATTCCTTCATGCTGGCTGCCAATCGCTTCTCCGCTGAGGCAACACCTGCTGCCTGCTGCTTGCTGCTTGCTGCTTGCTGCTTGCTGCTGCAGGATATGACGTTTTCCACAGAGATTGCAGCCATGTGCATGGAGGCGCTCGAACAGCCGCAGCAGCAGCAACACAAAATCCTCGAAATGAAATCCTTTCGGCTCGCCTGCAACAAAACAGATGCAGATATCTCCGAGCTTGTGCTGCTCACGATGCTCCAGCAGCTCGCGCTGCGAGCAACCAGAAGCAAAGAGGTATCCATGCGCTGCGTCTCTCCCTCCGTGTGCAACTCGCAGTTCCTCTGTCAGTCTGTTTGTGTAGTGTGTGGTTTTCGTAAGTGCAGCGGTGCGTGTTTGTCCGTGTAGTCGCATGCATGTATGTGTATTTATGGATTCGTGTTTTGACGTATGCATCTCTTGGTGTGTCTGTGTATGCATGTATGTGTATTTATGTATTTGTATGTTTGCGAATTTATGTATGCACGTATCTGTGTCTTTATCTCTGCATGTATGTGTATTTATGTATTTGTGTTTTGACGTATGCATCTCCTGGTGTGTTTGTGTATGCATGTGTGTGTATTATGTATTTGTGTGTTTGTGAATTTATGTGTGCACGTATCTGTGTATTTATCTCTGCATGTATGTGTATTTGTGTGTTTGTGTATGTGTGTCTCTCTCTCTCTGTCACTGGGAGCAGTCCCTTCGTGCCTGTGTCGACCTGCTGCGCGGTGCTCGGCTTCTGCTTTTTGTTCTCTCCTTCTGTCAACCTGCTGCCTGTCTTTTCTGCCCGCATATATATATATATACAAATATATGTATATCCCGTGTGGGCGGGCTTGTTATTCTGATCCGAAAAAGAATCTCCTCGGGAGAAACGGTTTGTGTGGGGCATGGTTTGGCTGTCAGGGATGGACGGCTTACGCGGAGTCTCACCGGTGCCGTCCTCTGTTGGCTTCCTTTCTGGAGCCTTCGAAGGATGCTCTTTCCTTCTTCCTGCTGTGGGGACAGACCGTCGCGTTTTGCAGCAAAGCCGAGATCGTCTACACCGACGTGGAAGGCGAGGAAGTGCGAGCGCCTAACCCGTTCGAAGGTGCGCGGGGGTTCTGCGAAGTCGCAGAGTTGCTGCATGCAGCGGATCTCTTCGACGTCGAGTCTTCCCTGCCTCGATGGGCGAAAGCAGCACGGACTGCCGTGTCGACTGCGAATGGCAGCAGCAGTGCAGCGGCTTCTGCCGCGGAGTCTCTCGCGGCTCAAAGCCTCGGTCGACTTCCGTCTCCCTCGGCAGTTTTGCCCTTCCTAGAGACCCCTCGCATGCAAGCCTTCCTAGCCTGGCTGGAAGAAGAGGTGGAGGAAGACTCCGATTGAAGGAGTAGAGGGGTAGGGAACAGCCGAGCGCAGCAGAGGTAGGCCGTTGCACTGCCTGCCGGGTGCTGCTGCTGCCGTCTTGGAAAAACTGCGAACCGTCGATTCTTCGGCGCTTTCATGCACCTGTGCTGCGCAGAAGCGGCTTCGCGACAGGAGTGCTGCTGCTGAGGCGGCTCTCGCCCCCTAGTTGCTGCCAAACTGAGCTATCTCAAGCCGCGTTGTGCGAGGCAATAGCGAGAACGCACAAACAGCCTCGATCGCTGCCTCCATGGAGGTCTAGGCTCCGAAATAACTCGAAAAAAAGCTCACACTCACGGTGGGGTGATGCCTACTAGCCAGTTAGGAGCCAGTACGCCCGCGACAGCGTGCCGCTCTGCACCCCCACAAAGCTGCGGCAATATTTACACGGATTACTCTGCCACTAGCGACCTGCAAACACAGCTAGCGGAAGGGCGCCTCCAGAAAATCGCTGCATGTGTCCAGCGTCGCTTCCTTGGAAGGGAGCGAGCACTCCAAGGCGCACGGCGGCTTGTTCATGCAGCACGCCGTCTAGACGGCTGGAGCAGCAGACCGCCCCCAGAGGAGGCGCGTCTGCCTGCGCTTTGCTCCCTGCATTCTTGACGCTTGCAGATGCTCGGAGCTTGCATGTCTATGTGTCAGGCGGAGGCCAAAAGGCAGGGAGGGAAGAATTGAGGGACTGCCAGCGCACATTACAGGCAGAGCGAGCTCTGGAGGAGCTCTGTAGAGGCTTGCGCAATGTGGCAGGGGTGGAGAAAGCAGAAAATGTGCCCGCGCCCTTCTGACTTGGCTAGCTGCTACGAGGATCGCTGGAGGTTTGGGCTTGCTGTCGCGGCATGCAGCACGCAGCACGCCTCCTTTGTTTAGGCAGGGGGCACCTTTCAGTTATTTGGCGAGTGGCGCGGGTGTAATGCGCGCTGGTCGACTCCAGCCGCCTATAGGACTTGTAGATTGGGGAAGGGTTTTTTTTTTCACCACGCTTTGCTTCCTAAATGCCGTCTTGCAGAGAAGCGGCTTTAGACTACAGCTCGGGGTTAAAGGGCCTTTTCTGGAGCTAGGGGCCTTTTTTCTGAAGATGCACTACCTCGCCACTTGGGCTCAAGGCTATCCTCTCTGGAAGGAGAGCACAGCCTGCACATCTGAAGGGGTCGGGTGACACTGGGCGTTGCTCCCGCCTACAAACGGTGAATGCATCGGCAGCCATCTGCAGGGCATGTGCCCCTGTATGCACGACTGGAAGCGCGAGGCTTTTGCCTCGCTACAATCCCTCACCCCTCCTGCCTCTTCCCCCCGATATCCCCCTCTTGCTGGGCATGGGTGATGCCGCATGCACTGAACATTTACGGCTGCGGAATAGGAGGGCACACAGACGCCAAATAGGCTGTTCTTAGTGAAGGCCTATTGGGGTTTTCTGGCAGAAGCACAGGGCATGCCGCTAAGGCGGTTCTGGTGCTCGTTACGGATCTGCAACAGAATGTGCATGCGATCCGCGAAGGAGCACTGGATTTCCTCGTCGTTCTTGACTCGTTCTTTTCCACAACGACCCCCAAAGTGCACACTGCGATCCATGAAATACACTAAAGTGCCAGTCTGCTGCACGGAAGAGGCGGCATCCCCCAGCGGCAGTCGTACTTGGCTTTTCTGCAGGGTAGTAGTTAGTGCCGCTCCAGAAGCTGCGCAGGGGGCTGCGGCTGAAAATCTGGAGCGCAGGGTAATTCTCCCGCGGAGGAGGCTTTCCAGCGCTAAATTCTGTGATTTAAATCTTTTCGAGCAGTCCAGATCTGCAACAAGTCTTCAAGGCGAGAATCCGACTTCGTGGTAGCAGTACCCCGCTGCATCACCTCCTCCCTTAGGGGACTCCAGGCAAGCCACTTCTCTGATTATATAATTCCCCTGTAAATTGTCGAGGCAGCAGCACGCATGCACTGCCTTGGTGTGACACTTCGGAGCAGCAAAAGCCGCACAAATCGTCCCCTAGGACGAGCGCAGGCTCCCCTCCTGCCACCACTCCAGCAGCGGCACAAAACACCAACCGCCAGCAGAGGAGCAGACAGCGAATTTCCTGCAGCACAGCTGCCTTCAGGCTCTGGGAGTCGCATGCTCCTTCATGACCAGCACAACTTGTGTCACGAGAAAGAGCATGCCAAGATTTTGCCCCCCTGATGCTGCTGCCCTCCCTCCTCTCACATGCACATCCTTCCAAGTGTCTCGACAGCGCCTCCTGCTGGTGCTGCTTCCGCCGTCTCCAGAAGCACAAATGCCTGCTTCTTGGGTCACTGTACCTGTCAAGGCGATGTGTGTTTGTGTATCTGTTTTGTGTATAGCTGCGTGTGTTTGTGTATCTGCATAGCTGTGTGTATGCGTACCTGTGATGAAGCGCATACATTCACATATCTATACACACTGCCTTGTGGGCTGCACTGCGTTGGATGTGCGCAGCTTCTAAGTGTGTGTGGCTGTCTCTCTGTGCGTGTGTGTGGCTGTCTCTCTGTGCGTGTGTGTGGCTGGCTGTCTGTGCGTGTGTGTGTGCCTAAGTGTGTTTTTACGGCTTTCTATCGCCACAGCTTGCCGTGTGCTGAGCTCTGCAAAGGCCTTAAAACGGCTGCTGCTTTCTCCACTGTGCCTGCTACTTCTGCGCCTCTACCCGCGGTGTTTTTTCTTTTTTTCGCGCCTCTTCTCGTCGCTGTTGCGTCGAGTTTTTCCGCTCTCCGCATGTTTCTGACTGCCCCAGCGTCTGCGAGAAGCTGGCCTCCATGCGGAGTTCGGGGTGTGGCTTTTTGTGCAGCAAGATGCTGCATCCCTTCGCCGTTGTCGGGAGATTTTTGCGTCCGAATCTCTCGTCTCTCCTCCCCTCCCCTGCGTGTTGCGCCTCTCCCTTGGGGAGAGCGACTTCAGCAGCCTGCGCAGCCACAGCAGCTGGAAGGCTGTCTTCGCGAAGGACGTACCTCCACTTCGCGAGGACGGTGCCTGAAGACTATGAGCTCCCCATCGAGACGATGCCTTCCGACGTGGATGCCTTGATGAAGGCGAAGCCGAAGGATCTAGACTTCTTCGGAAACTACTGGTACTGGCGACTGAGGGGCGAAGCCTCCGTCTTGGACCCAGAGAACCTCCCCAAGAAGTCGTACAAGCAGCTCGCTCGAGACATGGGCTTGCAGGTAATTCAGCTTCGGTGCCCATGGCAGCTGCAGAATTCTCGGTGGCTTCAGAAGCGCGTCTTCCCAGCCTGCAGCTGCCTCCGCTAAATCCTGTTTCTCGCTGTCTCCGCCGCGATGACAAGACCAGCTGGGTGCAGTGTGCTCGAGAATTCGAGGCGTAGCGGGGAGTAGGAGGGCAGTCGAGGAGAGCAGAGGAGCCGGCGGGAACAAGAGTTCAGGCTAGCCCAGTTCTTTCGCAAGAGACTCTGCGGGGAGGATGCACATGGAGTCTCCCTCCGAGGCTGCGCCTTCGGCTGGCTGTCTCGCAGGTTGTTAATCAGGAAAGCGAGCACATGGTCGGCCTCCTCGAGCTGTACGAGTATTTGAAGGGTGCTCCTTTTGTTGGGCCCTTTGGCACAATCGAGAATCCCGTCCTCGTGCCCTCTGTGCATACAGAAAGGTATAGTCGAAGGCGCAAAGCGCAGCAGCGGGGAGCTGCAACGGCAGGCGTGGGAGCGAACCGCTAGAAAGACACAGACAGACACAGATCGATCGAGGGCGTCGTGCGTTCTTGCCGCTCTTCGGAGTCGAGGGGGCGGGATCTCAGCCTCTGTATCTATTTGTGTATGTAATACACATGTAAATAGGTATAGAGTATGTACATGTGAATGTGCATTGAGTATGTACATGTGAATGTGTATTGAGGTTGTACATGTGAATGTGTATAGAGGTTGTACATGTGAATGTGTATTGAGTATATACATGTGAATGTGTATTGAGTATGTACATGTGAATGTGTATAGAGTATGTACATGTGAATGTGCATATATTATATATGTGAATGTGTATAGAGTATGTACATGTGAATGTGTATTGAGTATATATGTGAATATGTATAGAGTATGTACATGTGAATGTGTGTAGAGTATATATGTGAATGTGTATAGAGTATGTACATGTGAATATGTATAGAGTATGTACATGTGAATATGCATATAACATATGTGTATATGTATAGAGTATGTACATGTGAATATGCATATATTATATATGTGAATATGTATAGAGTATATATGTGAATGTGTATAGAGTATATATGTGAATATGCATATAACATATGTGTATATGTATAGAGTATGTACATGTGAATATGCATATATTATATATGTGAATATGTATAGAGTATATATGTGAATGTGTATAGAGTATATATGTGAATATGC